TAAGTGAAACCTACTAATTAAATCACATATGTGAACCGACCAACAGGCGTCCTGTTGGGCCCGGAAAGATTTCGTGCCATAAAAACGCCCTCTTTAACGATCATCAAATGTTGTTTGTGCCACGAATTCTTTTTAAGAAGAGACCTTCATCAAGGAAATTGACAACGGAATGAACGAGTATCGTTAAGGGTCATTCTTATTCACTGGCGTCCAAAACTTTGTTCTTAAGATAGTTGTCTGGTATTAGCAAAATAATTCCCACGCTGATACAGGTGCGTGCTTGTCCAGGGTGGAATAGCAAATTCAAAAGATAAAATACCATCAAATAGAACTAAACCCCCTCCAATTTACTGGACTCATTTATATGTTTCATACATGATGCCAAAAACATCAAGACTGATCCCTTTTTGATGCTATCAACGTTCGTCCCTACTTTCCTAATGACCCCAACCCACACCCCCACCCCCACGCCCACCCACACCCTCACGCCCACCCTTAACCCCCACCCCCACCCCCAACCCCACCCTTGACCCCCACCCCACCCCCACCCCCACCCTTACCTTCACCTTTAAGAGGGCATTTAGGAAGCAAGGTTTCAAAGCCGCCAGTCTTGCTTCTGTTATTGACTGAACCCACCCAAGTACAATATTTAGTAATCTCAAACCTATGTTCGTCAAAGATCATGTTTGGTTAAAACAAGAGCACTGAGAATGCCCCCGTCATGACTTTACAGGGGTCGTGTGCGTATGAAGTTTTCCTCACCTTTTTCTCGTTTAAATAAAAGGAGTTATTCTGAACACGAACCTAACTACAGTAGAGGTAAAACTGGGCAGATTGTCAATTATGGCTAATATGTGAAGCTGAAACTGAACCGAACGTAGGAATCATTGATCAAACAACAAAACAATTCTTGGAAAAAAAAACAAAATATCAGGTATCATTTAAACCTTTCATTAATTATTCATATCAGTTACTTTTCCTTTACAAACGTTCTTAATAAACTTAGCCGGAGCCAAACCAGCCGCTCCCCTTTTTTTGGTTATCCTTCAAGTTTTCAATAAGTAATATGTTAGGTGTTGTTCTAGGAAAGAATGCAGATTAAAAATCCACAAATAATGAGGAGTGCTAAACTTTGTTGGAATCGTCAGTAAATCTGAACAGTTTCACTTTCATTTCTTCCTTAAAATTTTCGAGCATCCTTTGTTTTTCTGGTAGGTTAATGAAATGGTAACTTATTATTTCTCCCTTGAAAAGGCTGATCTGACAACTATTGGCAATGTAGGAATGGGTGAATTGAATTTTATTCTTAATCTTGTATCTTATGGAGACGTTTTCTTTGATATTATTGGGGGTAATGTGGTCGAGTGGTTGAGGCTCTGGGCTTGTAATCCCGTTTGCACCGATTTCAACTTTTTGGCTGCACTTTGTATATAGCCAACTAGTCTGCCTCATGTCAGTTAGGATTTTTAAACGCTATGTTTATTTACAATATGTGTTTCTAATTTGTTTGTATCGGCTCTGAAAACAGTCTCATCGGGGGAGTGATCAATTAGGCATACACCACTGACAGTACATTATATTTTCCTTTGAGAAATGTCTCCGTTTTAGTCAGTCCTTAGTATAATGGAAAATAAGCTGGAAATGAAAAACTATTAAAAAGTTGCAGTTTCCCGGCCTTTCTTCAATGACGATCTTAATGTGGATCTCTTTCCAGTTTTTTTTTTCCAGCCGAATCATTTTAAATTTTACCTGAAGTTCAATATCGTTAAAGAGCTGAATTTTGCCAATAGCGACGTATGCAAATTGAAAAGAAAAGACGGGTGTCAACTGACTGTTTACGAAAGAATATGATAAAAATCATGTACACGATTTAAAATGATCAGTTTTACTCACTATACTTAAACAAGTAGTCTTGTTAGGGACATTACACTTTTACAATTACCATCCAACTCTTGAACTTTTTCCTTAAAAATTATTCCCTTTACGAATTACGAAAATGTAAGGGAAAATGTAACTTCTAACTGATCAGCAACAAAGACCTCTGGAATAGAATATTTAAATCAATTATTTCTCGGTTCTCTTGGGTATATACAAGCTTAGCCTTGAGATGAAACTAGTGTGTCTATATATATAGGGTTTACAGTCAAGTCGCCCAGAGTCATCTCGCCCGAAGTCATGTCGCCCGAAACCTGAGTCATGTTGTCCGAAATTTTAGTTATGTCGCCCGAAAAAAAAGTCAAGTCGCCTAAAGAAGCAAATACTAAAAAGATCAGAATTTTAGACTGTTAATAGGCAATAACATTGAGAAATTTTTCATCACTAAAGCGCTCTTTGTTTCCGACAAGCGTTGTTCGTTCCTAACAACAAAGGGAAACGTTGTTCGTTTCCAATTACAGAATACAGCATTGCTCGTTTGGTATGTGATCGTTTCTTACTCACGGACGTTTCGTAAGCTTGAGAAACTTTTTCTTGGTTTTTAACAATACCATGAATATATTTGAGTAATGATTCTAATAGCGTGGTTCGTTTCTAACAACAAAGGGGGAAGCGTTCTCCGTTTCAAACAAAAAAATGAAGCGTTGTTCGTTTGGTATGTACTCGTTTCTTGACTTGACCGGTTACCTATATATAGAAATTACCTCACATGAGGTGAATAACGAACTAAATGGCTGCTTGATATTTGATTTTTGACGAACTAGAAAACTGGCCGAGTTAATTGCGCTCAAAACCTGCTGGGGACTTTTCGAGTCCGTTACACATCTAGCGAAGATCGAAAAAGATTGAAAACAGTTTATGGCGGGCACGTAATGAGTTTGGTTTTAAATCTCAACGTCAAGGAAACTTAGACTGCTCAACAAACAGACTCGAAACGAATTCCGTTTAAAACTTGGAATCCATCCTGTACAAAGTTTACGTATTTCAAGTACCCTCAGTCCGATGTTTGAAACCTCCTTGAGTTTTCGTACCTTTCTCATAACTAAAATAGTGGACCAGACACTGTACTTGAATGACAGTAATCTTAAAACAAGAGCTCAGTCTTACCTTCGTCAAAATTCCCTGTGATTGAATGCTCTTCAATGAGTGTCCTTCACTCCAATTAGTCTCAATTCAGATTTTCGTTGCTGGCCAGGTTAGTTTTTTGTCAAGAGAATTTATGCTCTCTACTCAACGTCCATACTCTTTGCCTGTTTTTATTTGATTTCCGTCCGCCGAGATTGCCTTTCAATCACATATGACAGTTTTCCCAAACCCTGGAGCTCTTTCATCAGTTTTGTAAACGAAAGATGTTTGGTTTGATAAATTAATTCACAGCCTCAGTAATTATATGAAATGAAATGTCGGAAATGTCTTGAAAGGCGAAATGAAAATTCAGAAACTTGGGAAACCAGTCAGAAAAGTGGATAAATAAAACGTGAATGCGATGTGACAAGTTGTTTCCATTTCTTTCCCTCAACGCAGTTGTCGAATTTTTATTAAGACACTATGTAATTTGATTCATTAAAGCATTGACCTAGTACTAACAATGTTTCTTTGGCTCTACCAATAAGTAACGTTGGAAATTTTTGTTGTTTTCTTCACAATAAAACATCAATATTTTGATTGAATTTTGCCCGTGAAGCAGTGAAGCAGTGATGATTTTTTTAAATTTTATATTACACTGAACTTAGATAGTTACCTACACTGGTGGTTGGTCACTTGAAGTGGAAATAAAAATGGATGGTGCGATTAAACCGAGATAATTTCTGCGAAGTGTTTTCCTCTCGATAGTTAGGAACTAATTTTACCTGACAAACAAGTATACCAACATGCATTTGCATTGATCACTTTATTTTTATTAGCCTGCATCCGATGTGACTGACATTTTAGTTATTATTTCATGTTGTCCTGATTGGTCATATTTTCTCACCTTAAATTAAACTAAGGAAAATAACAATTTATTGTGACCAGCAGAATATCATTAGTTGTGGAGTGCAATCTCATGTCCAACACCTGCATTTTAACAAAACAACTGCCTTTTGAGGGTTCAGGCTCGATTCAATTAATTTTTAATAATCTTTTGTTTTTTAGCGATAAGACCTTATTTATTTATTTTTGCGTCGGTGATTGAAAAAACTGAATGAAGAATTTTTTATCAGTTCCATAATTGCATCCTTTTGCTTCTTTCAATAAACTCCACTTCCCCTTTTATTAATATCATTCAAAAACTCAGGACGAGTTTTCCAGCAAATGGAAGAAATATCATACTAAAAAATACCATACTCTTGTGCATGGAGGAATTAAAATGACGTCCCATGAAATAAAGGTTATCAGAAATGTGAGGTATCCCTAAAAATCCGGCGGGAATTTGACATAATAACATCAGCTGGGGGTAAATTACCGATCGAACCTTTATTTTTAGGGAAATGGTACGTTTAATTTCATTTCGTTAGAAATCATTCATCACACAAAAGGCTATCGATCGAGCAATTTTATTCTCAAAGTACGGAAAAGAATTAAAAAAAGGCCGCTGACTTGGATAACGGACAGGTGTTAAAATGTTTGATTACCACACCACTTTTCGTCACAACTTCGGAGGTTTTTTTTTCCAAGAGACCGACCCGACGCTGGTTGAATAAATTCGTGATAAATATAGGGGAGGACAGTTATTATTCGTCGCCTGGGGGCAGAGGGGGTCGTAGATTTTGTTAGAGGGGAGAATCACATGGTTATCAGAGAAAACAGAGGGGGATCAGACATCACCAGCAGAGTATAAATGGGGAACTATAAAAAATTGACTGCAAATTAACTGCCGATGAGGGGTAGGGGGGTGGGGAGGTTAAAACATTACTGAACTTTAAGGCGGGATCAAGTTAATTTTATCGTGACAATTAAAATCACCCAACCTCCCCCCCTCCCCTCTGCGCGCCGGCGATACACAATGACTGATCACTAAAGATGATTCTCAAAATGTCACTAAGACCTCAATTACTAAGTGATTGGACGGGTTGGGAATAACAGATCCACACAAACACAAATCCCTTCACTTTCAACGTTTAATAGGCGTTCTCTTTTCCCCTACTACAATGATTAGTCTGATACTTCTTGTCCGATAGAAGGCCTCTTGCTTTCTTAAGTACATGCACACAAATCCCCTGGACAGTTTCCCCGGGCACAGTTTTCATTACACCATTTATCCATGCCTGCATTCCCTTGCCACGCCCCTATAGCATGGCAAGATCCAGATGGAGGTCCACCTGTAGGAGGCCCAGCAGAAGGGGGCTGGGTACTAGGTTCTGGCCATGGGGAGGGGATGGGAGGTCTTGTTCCCCCGCCTCCTCCCCCTAATGCTTGCTTGACGGCATTCATCAGAGGATACCTTAGTGAGACAGGGTTGAAGTCAGTGGATAATTAATGAAATAAACAGACTGCTCTCAATTTGACTTACAGCATGGGACATGTTCAAAGCTTTCTGGACGAAGCAAAAGAAGAAAGAAATCGCTCAGTTATTTCATAGCTTGACTTACGTACCAACTTGGAACATTAGAAAACTGCTGAGTCGTAACATCACAATTCACAATTCGACAACCTCTCGAGTTAGACAAGGCACAACAATTTCTGTTAAAACTATTCTACTAGACTACATTTTATCACATTAAATGTTCGAAGTGCACAACTGCGAAATTTTTTTGTTTGTTAAAGAAATCAAAGAAAAAAGTAACGTCGTATTTTTACCTCCCTTTTTTGCAAAAAGAACCCTTGAAATCATCCAGATCCAGCGCCCAGAACATGGCACCCAGCAGATTTTTTTCTTTAATGACAGAGTTCACTTTCAGTGTCAAACTCATCTCATCATCGTACCCCACCCACTGGTCTCCTTTGTATCCATACGGGGCTTTCACTGTGTTGTCCTGTACCACGGTCAGACCCATTGTACAAATCTCGTAATAGGACAGGAATCCCCCTTCTCTGGTGTATTTCCCTGGGGTAGCCTTTCCACTGGCCGAAGCTCCCAGTCCATTCTTATTCGGATTGACAAGCTTAAATGCTCGGCCATAAGTTCCTAATCCTAGAGCGATTTTCTTACACGGCATACCCTGAGTAATAATAGGAACAAGTCTAAGAGTGCAAAGGTACGAGTAATTAGACTGAACAAATCAGTACAGGACAGAACAACCTGAGCAATCGTATGGAAACAAATGTACAACAAATAAGCATCAAAGTGAAACTCTTCGATTGCAAAAAACTGACAAACTAACAAGTTAATTTCAAGAAAGTTTCAACACCTCAGTGGATTTCGATACTTCGAAGAATCACTGACTAAAGCGATCCTGTAACTGAGATTTCAGTGTCTAAAAGTTATCACGAAAAAATACAACCTAAATCAGAAAACGATGTCTAATTCTCTGATTAATGACATGCTTCCTTGTTAAAATCAAACATTACCTTATCCATCCAATATTGCACTGCGTGGGAGACTGTAAGTTTATCACCTGTGGGACCCTCCAAAGCAGTGTGATGCCCTGTCTGGGAATCCCAGCTTCCATGAAGATCGTATGCCATCAGGTTGATAAAGTCTAAAATGCCAGCTAATTTGCTGATCTCGTATGCCTTGTCAATTGTTGCATAACCAGCGGCTACGGCGGCTGTTAGCAGAAGTCGTGGCTTTCCGCTCTCAGCTGACTCTTTCTTAAAAGCAGTGAGCAGTTCTTGGCAAAGGATTGTGAAGAGTTGTTTGTCCTCAGGTGGAGAGTTGCCACGATTTCCAGGATACTCCCAGTCTAGATCAAGTCCATCAAAGTTGTACTGTCTCAACAAACTAAATAAGGAGAAAGAGAGCGAGGAAAAGAATGAGAACAAATCTAAACAAACAGAAGCTTCAGGAAGGAAAATTCTATGTCCGTGGCATGGCACAGGTTTACTTTTTCAGTTGAAACTACGACCCAATCAATTGAACATCGCCTTTGGTTGCTTGCTACTTCCTTCCAAATTTAAGAATACAGTGTTTCAAAACTCTTAACATCCGAGGATAGTCAAATTCGCAATAAACGTGTTTTCTCACAATAAATCTATTCCGTATTGTTACACGATAAAACCGACATGTTAATGATCACGAAGTTCTCTTTTCTTTGAAAAGATGCAAGTGCCAACTACTTTCCTATCTAACTCGAAACAAGAACAAGGCAGAATTAGGATCTGAATTCATGATTTTGAATTCCAATTTCTTACACAAGTTTCTCACCTCTTTACAGAGTCAATGAAGACTTTTCGTGTGGCGATCGTTCTCACCATGCGAGAGAATGGACTTTCAGTACCACTCTCATGGTTCCAACCACCAACAGCCAACAGTGTCTTCAACTCAGGGTTATTTTCTTTCAAATTGTTAAATCGGACGTACATTTTATCGTCGTTCCATTCATACATGGCAATCATGTTCTGTTGGTTGATTTTGGCGAACGAGTATATGATATGTGTGCACAGGAATGGGTCAATGTCCTCTGGAAAGAACTTGGCCCCCGCCGGTCGATACTGGGCCCAGTTTGTGTAATAACACACTCTGTAGTATGCATTAGAAGTTGCTGACACAGCCATCAACGCTAACAACACAGTTAAGGCTCGCATTCTCAACTAAACGGATTTCTTCTCTGGAAAAAGACAACCACGACAACGACAAAACAAATTGCTACACGATAGTCTAACAAACTGTACCAGCCTAAAAAACAGAGGGTTAGGCCGCACCCCTTCTGGGAGATTTCTTTTCGAAAATCTGAATCTATCATAAAAACTCAAGTTACATATACGATAATTCGCTTTCCTCATTCATTTGTATTTATTTCAATGCCTGTCTGCCTCACTATTTCTTCGTTAAGAACTCTTCACGGAAAACCAGGTTAAAATTGTATACTTTCCTTCCATGAGTGAGTTTGAATTGTAGTATCTTTGATATTTTTTCACAACATTGATCTTACTAGAGGGGGAAAACGTTGACCAGGATAGTGAGAGATAAGTGATTTACCTTTCTTGAGTGGCGCACTAGTCTAGTTTTACAGAGTTAAAACACGACCGATTAATACCTTCGAGTAGCTTCACAACTGTAGTTCGTCGGAGACCTTACGAAAGCTTTTTTAACAACAGTCAGTTTACACTCGAGCTGATTTTTGTATTTGCAGCTGCCTGAGATGTGTGTACATAACTAGGAAAACTGGTTCGACTGTGCTCTCACACCTGTATAAACCCTTGCTTTTGGGAAAATAAAGTATGGTAAACGAAGAGAGAGTGGAATTTAGTCAGAAATCGAAAATTTCGATTTCGCATTTCGTTTTTGTTTAAAGTCATCATCTGGACACTAGGTTTGCGCTTCTCTAATGACTTTAATCGGCTGATGATGACCCTTATTGATAAATGAAAGCAGGAGCCCACCATGGGCTCCTGGTGTAAGGCACATCTTTAAATTAAGATTTTCCGGAACCGTCGGAGTGACTGCAATGCTATGGTTGGGTTACACGTTCTTGTTTCTACACTAGCTTGTTTGTTGAGGTGTTCGTGTCCAGCATTGATGCATTTGCTTTTTCTTTGAACACAATTGATGTCTTTAGATATACAACTAAATGGCTTGATGAATTTTCTGACTAATAAGTCCAGATATCCTAATTCTTCTGTAAACAGGTCAGCGCTGGAAGCAAATATGTCTATTACAACCTCGCTTCCAGGGTCTCTACTAGTGGATACAAAGGAAAGAGACCCTAAAATGACGTTTTGACTTTGAAAGACTTTCAACACCTGAATTGTCGACCTGCACTTGGAAACAATGTTGTATTCACAGCTGATTGAACACAGAGACATGTTTTGCATTCTGTCATATCTACACTTGACCGCGTTCTGTTCTCGTCGTTTCCGCATATAATAGTCGTTTTGTTGCCCTCTTCCCGCAAAAAAGCTTACGTATTGTACCGTATTTACTGAGGATTTGACCGAAAAACTAAATATACGTTTACTATCATAGATCTGAGTAACAAAAAGTACAATCTTCAGCACTCTATACTTGTCTAGCTTGAGATCGAGGCTATTACATCAACAGAGGCATAACAAACATAATTTTTCTTTTTTAAAAGCCACACCATCATTTTGAAGTTATTCGTGATAATTGTGCAGGCGAGTAGTGTCTAACAGCACCAGCAGTGTCTTACACAAGACGAATTCAAGCGCTATGCTGGTGCTAAATGTAGAGTGGTGAACGTATTGCTTGAAATACTTCTCGCGAATTTAGTGCGATCTTTCGTCTGTTAAATCTGGTGATGTCTCTAATCAACTTTCAAGGAGCGTGACATCACATGAATCCGATGACCAACCCTCGTTTAATCAGAGGTCAACGACTCAACGATAGTCGGTCTCTATATACACAAAGGATACATGGAGATCGATGTTCTTAACAAATTAACGCCGTCTTGCGTCTTTTGTTCTCACCTCACATCGTCATTCTGATCTCTACTCGCACCATTTAAGAATAGTAAAAATTTCTCACTGCGTTAGACGTTTGGAGAACGTAAACTATTCCTGTCTTTCTTTCTTGAGCGATGTCGGGGTTCGGACGCCATCTTGGACTTGCTAACAACTCGCCTCGATTTCGTGCAAGAGCTTTGAATTCCGCTGGCAATTTTTTAAAATTTTTTTTAAGAAATAGGGTCCTGCGGGTTGACTCGTGTCGGTCCATGACCATTTTCGTATTATTTCACTCAGATAATTAAAGTGTACTCCAAGACTTGTGTTTATCTTACAAATTGGTCACTAAAAAGCGTTTTTATTAACAAACGAACGGATTCTTAACAAAAAGGCGCATAGTCCCTTTCAAGCATAGATACGAAATAAATTAATATTTGTTATATTCATGCGTAAACGTACACGAGAAAGATATTTACAACCGACGGAGAGAAAGATGGTAGAGTTTTGCTTCAGGTTATGTGGCAGTATGCAGATTAACCCCAGATCAAAAGGAATTTAAACGTATGACATTTTTTAACACATGAAATGATTCAACAATGGAAAAGGAAAATCGTAAGCTTTGTGAAAAGAGGAAATGAAGTAATGTTTCTTTTAGATGTTTTCAACAGAGATGTAAAGAAGCTGTTCAAGCCCCCTCCTCACAGCAGCGAGTTGTAATAAACGTCCTCGGGGAACAAGGTGTGAGAATTCTCCGCCAGATACCTGCAATTACACACATAAAAAAAATTATGAAACTATCTTTCCTCGAATGAAATGTTAAAGCTTCCAACGTACAAGGGATTTGATATCAATGAGAAACTGAAACCGTAAATTTCAAGGCTATTCATGGTTAAAGCATAATCCTCACTTTCTCCAAATTTATAAAGGGTAAGGGTAAGTTTCTAAAGAAACTATGGTGCTGCGTCACTGAGGGAGTATAATAAGATAATTTGGTTTTATCAACTGAGTTGATGATGTAAATTGACCACCGTAAAGAGTTTCTAAGCTGCCGTTTTAAGCGTTAACCCTTCGTCAGAGCGGGCAAGATTTCCCTTCAGCTTCATATTTCATCATACAACCAGTTATTTAAAAAAGAAAACAATGGCGAATAGTCTACCTATGGGATAAACAGAAATCTTTCTTTCAGCTGCATTGATTGTTTTCTTTCAATATCTATTTGCACTACCACGGAAGTATGCGGTCTATGAAATGACTAGTCAATTAGCAAGGACGATCTGAGAAGTTACATGAGCACCCACCTGAGAAATGTATTTATTTGCTCCAAAAGTACGTCGAGATTCTTCTCGGGCATATCTGTTCTTGCTAACAAGCCAGGCAGTTTGACTACACGGGAAAATATGAAAGTTTTCAATGCTCATGAAAAATGTCTACGTTTTGTTGGAATTTGCGACATTCACCATGGTTTCCCTTACATCACAACAATGAGGATTTCATAACTATATCGAAGGGAGAGCAAAAATCACAAAATTGTGGCATAACTCCTCCGGCCGCCTTCTAAAAATTTCTGAACTCCCTGGGAAATATTAGTAGTCATCGGATTTGATCGGTCCTCTAAGAAAAATTCTGGCTCTCCGAGCATAAAAATCTCAACATAATCCGAAAGAGGAAAATGGCGATTTAAGCGTTATACAATTATTTTTTCTGGTTAAATATCTTAATAACTTACCGAATAATCTTAATAAATGCTCAGGTCCGTAGACCTGTGAAGGCATCGTGTGGGTAGAAACACTCAGCGAGCAGGGAATGGGTAAACTTGGAAATGTTGCTGCTGTAATTTGAGACGAACAATCCTCTATCTCCACTGCTTTCTGAGGAATAAAAACAATAACACTCGATGGGTACCTCATTGATATTTTCAGTCATTTAAAGCGTCACTGAGGCTATCGCTTGTTTTATTTGCTCAAGGAAGTTATTCGTCATATCTCCAAAAGAGGTGGGTTGTTTTGGTGGATACTATACTGTTTCATTTGATTCAGCTTCTTAGTTTCCTTACGCTCGGTCAAGCTTCAAAAATTCCATGGTCCAGTGGACTGGAAGTTGACATAGGAGGCAATCGCAGTAAGGAACAAAGATAACTGACCCGTTTTGGTGCGGAAGCATTGCATTCTGGACTCGATGAAGTGGATGACACTGTTGCAGACTGGGAAGCCTCAACATTTGCCGGTGAATTTCTGGGCGTACGTCGACGTAGAAGTCTTTCTTGTTTGGCTAAGGGAAAGAAAGTAACAAGCAACATATAAATCTTCTTGATTTCTGCTACCCAGGTTTACTGATGCATAAGTGGCCACGCTTTCCTGATAGATCACAAAAGCTCAACTAAGTTCTTTGTTAGTCCAACTCAATCCAGTTCAAAACGTGATTGACAACAACCACAGCTACTTTACAGTTACAATTTATTTCAAAAATTAAAATGTAAAAATACCAAAAATTCCCTTTATCATTTTTGAAAAAAAAATTATTTAGTAATTGTGTACTAGTGTTTAGTATGTTCCAATTTCTAATGAGTTATTGTCTAGAGTGCAAACAAATTAAGAATCATGGGTGTACAAAAAACACATGTGAGGGGGTGGGGTGGGATAATGGACAAACAGTGCCTTGTAATGTTTGCTTGCATTGTGCTTCCTCACTGTACAATGATGGAGGGTTATGCCATCCAATGACCAAGCAAATGAAAGTTAAAGGGAAGGGCAATGAAATTTAAATTGAGTGAAGAGTGTTGGACATGTGATTACCTACTACCTGATATTCAGTGATTACCCTCTGATCAACAATTATCAAATGCTTAGAAATAACGTGATAGAATTTGTAATAATGAGCAAGGAGAATAAATAGGTTGTATTTTACAATATATTTCCAGTCAAAATGGTTCCAAACTAGTTTGATTAACATTTCCTTCTTTTTCCAGTTACATTGCTTGAATCCTTCAAGAAGGAAAAACACAAATCAAACTAGTTTAAATTCATTTTAACCCTCAACCACTTGGACTAGAAGTGCACACCTTCTCCTTCCTTTGTATCAGTCTGATTTGTAACAATGTTTGCAAAATCCTGCTTCACAGGAGAGCTTTCTGTGGATGAACTAACTATTCCATATTTATTATCTGTTGGTGTTTTTCCATTTAATTCTTCTTGATGTCTGTCCTTAGTTTCCTCAGGGTGAGGGGTGAATTTCATGACCATTTGATATTGCTCACGTTCAAAGTTGTAAAGCAACAAAGTTGGAAGAGTAAAATCAAAATAAATGCGGAGACCATCCATTGCCTCTTTGACCAAGTTTGAGCTGTAGGTTAGCAAAGATTTGAAGATTACTGGGCTAATATTTTATGGCTAGTAAATAATAAGATGAGTAAATACTATGAAGCTACCTTAAAAATAACAAGTTCATTCTGTGAAACGAATAGTAGTTGCATGTACTTGCCATGGACATTTGCATTATTTACCTCTGTCCAGGGTAAAATTCCTGATAATGCCGGAAATAATCTTGAAGAACTTGAACAACATTTGGTGTCCTGGGAAGCTTCACAAGCTGGGAAGAAAATGTAAGTTATTTACCAGGAGGGAGCTTCATATCAAAAAGGCAGTATGGTGTGTTCCCATACAGACCTAGGTCTGTGAATAGCTTTCTTTATTTTTTTGGCTTTTTTTCTTTTTTTTGCTTTACCACAAATGGTGCAAAAGAGGAAAAAATCTGGACCATGGACTGAATTATAAGAAGCTGAACTGGTTAGGAACACACAGGCAGCCAATCAGTTTAAAAACACCTACTCACCTGTTGGTGAGTAAAGATGTGGCATGATGCTAACCATAACAAAAATTACATCAAAATGTTTCAATGTTGCAAACCAAAGTAGAATTGTAGGAAATTTCAAGAGGTAGAGTGTCTGTACCCCTCCCCCCCCCCCCCCGAAATTTTCTTGTCAGAGAAGATAAAAAACAAATTGAAGAAGTTGTGAATGAGGGGAACCCTCTCAAACAATAACATGAAATCCGACAGATGCACAAGATATTTTCAACCATCCCAGTCACCAATGGGAAGTGTACAAATATTAGTAGTTATAAGAAACTTCTTACAGTGAATGACTATCAGTGTGTGATAGAGAGCAAGCCTCAAAATCATAAATGATTTTAACTTTGTATTTGATTTTTAAGTGGTAGAAATAACCATTAAAGTTTTCAGTTGTAATTACCTTCTTTTTTCTTTTAATAAAGTAACAGTCATCTTCAAGCTTCAATTTCAACTGACTTGGTATTTCAATTTCAACTTTTGGTAGTTCTGGGTTTTCCACCTTCAAAACATTTATTTTTTGTCATGAGTTCCCAAATTGTATCAAACCAGCCAGGAAAACTCACATGAGGTACATTACATTCTTGGATTTGAAACAAAAACCACAAAAAATAAACAAAGAAAACAGCAACAATTAAAAAACAACAACAAACCATAAAAACAAACAAACAAACTGGAGACAGACTAACCACTTCTGAAATGGATTTCCTTTCAGATTTGCCAGCATCATCAGAGTCCTTGCTTTCTGAACCTTGAAGAAACCTCCTCTTCTTTTTCATCCTTGTTCTAGCCATGAAAATTTTGAAAATATGTTGAACTGAGCACTTAAGACTCCACTGAATTTGATTATAAATTCTTTACTTCCTGAAATTCACTTTTATTTGTATTTTTAACAACATACTTCAGTGCTTGCTCGTGGAGTCTGCTCATAAGTGATCTGTTGTTTTCTGTATCTTTCAGAACTTGATCTTCCACCACCCAGCGATCCCAGCTGATAAAATAACAATTGTTTATATACATTCTTTTAATATAGATTAACTTAAATAGGAGAGTCAGTATCCTGGCAAAGCAATCATTTTTATAGTTCATTAGCTGTGACAATTTTTATTTAGAAACAATATCATTACTTGATCCTCATGATGCATACCTTCCTTCTTTGCATTGATCACTATTTGGTAATAAAATGTTATATCTACAGTATAGATTGAGTTACCTCCTGTTCCAACCATTAAAATGAATGAAATATTCTGGAACCCTTTTTCCTTTGTCATCTTTGGTGATATCAACTTCTAGAACCTGGTTAAAAGTGACATTACATCAACAAAGATCATTTAGTAACCGCAAATTAATTGAATTAGAACGATTAAATTCCACTCGGACGCTTTTTATAACAAGCAATTATATGAAATACCTGGATACATCAGAGAGGCGACGGTGAAGAGATTTTTAAGTGAAGGATGCCACTCTACTTTTAACGTTCACATTACCCGTGGAGGGTAGAAAATTTAAACTTTTAATCTAGTTGTGGGTTTTGTACAGCTTAAAAGCGCAGTACATGAAAATGAAATCATATACAAGTAAAGCAGATTAACTCGAAACCTCTATACCTCTGATTCAAGAATTTTGATGATTATCCGCAAAACCGCGGACAATAAGCAGGATAAAAACACGCCACTTCGGCACTAGCTAAGCGTGTTGATGTCAGACTGCTAGTGTCACGCCAGAGTTTCTCAGCTGAGTTTTCTTGGTTCCATTTCACTAACAGTTATCGACAAATTTATCTACAAATGGTTCTAAATAAACAAACCTTTGACTCATATAGCACTCGGGCCTTGTTAGGATCAGGCTCGTAGCAGAGGACTTTTTCTCCTGTGGCAAATTTGGGAACTGGATTACTCCTGGTCTCCCGACTTGTCGCCATGATTTGGATGTTTTGGCACTCAACGTGAAGGCTACATAAATCAACTCACTTTTAATAATGCAACAGCTGATCGTTGTAATCGCTGTAGATCACAGGCGGTTCGCGCATTTGTTTTGGAAAGAAAACCGCTGAAAATTATTGAGAAAAGCGAGCCTGCCCATGTGAGTATATGATCTGCAGGAATATGTTTAAGAAGTAAGTCGAAATTTTTTAGAGCGTTTACAGTTTCCGACGGTTTGCTTGAGGGTTGATATCTCGCGCTTTATATAGATCCGGTGATTTGAATTGATTTCTGATTTAAGGATGAAAATAACTTTTTTTCAAACCTCTTCTTTGCAATACTTATCATCGGGAGATTTCGGGTAGACCTATCCTCCATCGAAGATGCAAATACCTCCAAAATTCTGGCTGTTTTAGATTTTGCTTTTATTTTAATTTTTCCCTCATTATTCTTGGTCCCGAAATGTATTAAAGACAATTCGATTCTCTAATAATCTTTATATAGCATTATTTGTCAACAAAATTGAAATTTTCTTTGAAAGATTTCAGGCAAGAGAGTCTGTATCAGGGGTAAGTCAAGTTAAGTCATCTGTCCAGCGTGGGATAAAAACCAAATTGGTGGATCAATTCCCTCCTATTGATGATTACATAGCGCAAATATTTCCAAAAAAGGAGCCCCTAGTTCTTGTGAAATGGTGAGTCAAATACATTTATTTGTTAGGATTATTCAAGAACAGTCTGTTAACTATTTTTTTAAAAATTTTTTTAAAAGATGATTTCTTGACAATCACATGATAGTTGCAAGTATCTGATAACAGGCCAATTAGGAATGCCTTGCTCATATTCCCAAAAGAAATTTCAAAACATTTAACCTTTTACACCCTAATATCAGTATGTATATTCTCCATACTGTTCATCCTACATTTCTTAAGGTGCTGACAAGGAGAATTTGTTAAACAATCAAGAGCTACTTCAGTTGGTGATCATTTCCCTTATTCTTGTGACCTTCATGTGTGATACAGGGAAGATATTGGGGGAGAAATTAGTTGTTAGTCACTCTTAGGGGTGAAAGGGTTAGTTGGCATCACTGTTGTTGGAGATTTTTTAATCACTCTGTATTCAGTCACTTGATAAATAATTATTGATTGAAAAATATACCTGTGTTATAAGTATATAGCAAACTGAATTAAATCACTTGTCACATTTCTAACACTGTGTATTTTTTTTTTATAGTCATGAGCATATAGAAATATTATCTGTCAACCAAGAGATTCTTTTCTTCAGACAAAGAGAAGGAGATTACTTACCATCTCTTAGACTCTTACACAAATGTAAGTTGCTTACTAAAAAATTTAATTTTAGGTTTAATATTGGGTGAACAGCTTTTTTTAATTATATAAATATAATTATACATACATACATTTATGTAGAGGAAAATTACCAGTGCTGGTCTTGTTGTTGCTGTTGTTGTTTTACTGGGTTGTCAACTGGCCATATAAAAAGGTTGGGTTTGGAGCCCTGAAAGTTTCTTTCTTGTCTAATTTTCTGAAAGTGTGGAGTTTGAAATAAATAAAGAATACTAGATATTTCACATAGTTTATTTCACTCCATAGTTTCTGTATTTCTGCCAGAAGATGTGCTATCAAAGTATATAGCAAGTGGTTTGAAGAAAAAAGAATCAAATACTTTATTGTCACATTTTAAATCCTGTAATTTTATAATTTTTTCTTCCTTGCCTAAAGAAACTTAACTTATGATATCTTTTTTTTCCTAGATCCAGTCATTTTACCTTGTCAACAAGTTGACAAAGGAGCAATCAAATTTCTACTAAGTGGTGCAAATGTTATGTGCAGAGGTTTGACCAGTCCAGGAGCAAAGCTTGCAGACTTGCCAAAGGGAGCAGTAGTTGTATCCTTTCTCAGATACTAGCCTGACCCTCCTTGTTAGGGTTTTCCTCTCTATTTCTTACCCCCACCCCCTTCTTCCACCCCTTTCCTCAGTAAATACAGAAAAATAACAGGGGCCAGACTGCAGGGCTGTAGCCATTAGAAAGGGGCAGGGTGGAGTATAAAATTAATATAGATGTAGGTTGGTGAGATGCAGTGAAGTTAACAAGGAGTGGGGAGAGGGAGGAGTGAAGTAGTTTACCAATGAGTTATGTCAAGGGGGAGGGGTGTAGTTTTCAAATGAAAAAGCTTTAGATCTCTGTATGTTCTGGTGTGGGCCCTTTACTATCTTTTTGAGTATTTTCTCTTTAAATTGTTTGGGTCTTTTCTAGTCATTCTCTCTCAAGAAGATGCTGACAGATGTTCTTTCTCTTGCCCAAAGCTTTGGTCAAAATCTGTAAATGGATTTTGGAATACAGGAACTCTTAAGTTTTGAGGAATTGTAGGTCCAAAGCTTCTATCTACAAAGGCAAGCTTTTTTGGGTGGTGATAAGGAAGCTCCTGTTTGCTCCATACCAAAGTAACGAGCTGTTTCCTTCATGAGAAACTTTGATATTAGGGATTGTTGAATTGAATAGATTACAGAATTACCCTTTGTTATGACTTCCCATAGAATTAATAATTTGACAAAGCAGCTCCTGCTTGCTCCATACCAAAGTAACGAGCTGTTTCCTTCATGAGAAACTTGGATATTAGGGATTGTTGAATTGAATAGATTACAGAATTACCCTTTGTCATGACTTCCCATAGAATTAATAATTTGACAAAGCAGTATTTTCATCAAGCTGAGCAATTTTCTTTCATTCCCCTTTCTTCTTCTTTTCTATGTTTTGTTTGCCTTTACTCAAGCTTAGGCAATAACTGCGGAGGGAAAACAACATGCTCTAGCAATAGGAAAAATGACAATGTCTGCAGGAGAAATGTAAGTGAGACCAGTACAGATGTAGTAATTAGGAGAAATTGTTTTCTTTTATCAGATGAGGTAGGTGTTCTATGAAATTTTTTTAAAGAAATTTGAACTTGGTGGAAAGCAAAATAAGGGAAGGAAAACAAAAGGCTACAACAGAAAAAATCTCTTCTAAGGAAAGTGAATTTTTGAGGAGAAGTACTCACCTTTTCAATTTTTTATTTTTCTTTGTGAAGCCACATTTTTCATGGTCTTTGATTTCCTGGGTGAGATATGTGTAATAAAATAGTTCTGCCCATAAATGAGTGTCCTGTTTTTGTACCTGTTTTGTTTGAGTTTTGATTGTTCTGTTGAACTGCTGTGAAGGATGCTATCTTCTAATCACTTTGTCATGTTCATTTTGTTTTATTTTTTTTTACCTTGGCAGACGAGATACAAACAAAGGAATTGGTATTGAGGTGATACACTTCTTGAATGATGGACTTTGGCAAATGAAGCAGTTGGAAAAATGATTATTTAAACAAATGATGTGTATAAATATGAAAGTTAATGGACATTGTTAAGTGCAAATGTAAAACCTTCTCAAGAATGTCTATAGCAATAACTTGCAAAGTAATGTATGATAGTAGAGGAGAGAATCATTTAAAGCTGTTTTAATGCACATGAATATCAATTAAAGAACAATTTTGTTTTTTTTAACTTACATTTGAATTTACCTCTCTCTAATGTCTCTTCCTTATATTTATTGGATTTTGTTTAATATGTGATTGACATGTAATACTCTCTGTATTTGTACTCATGATACACATGATACAAAAAAATATAGTTTATTTGTTGCTTCATCATCCAATGGATTTTAACCAATTAGAGTAAGCCTAGTGTTGATGCAGGAAAACCAATTGTCATGATGATTTTGAGGTCATTCACTTAGCTTGTATTATTAAAACTCGCATTCTTGATATCATTTGGCCTTGTTTATTGATAATAATGATAATGACATGACTTTTTTCAGGAATATTGTTTATTTGCGCCCTTGTAGTGTCATTTGCGGCACTACGCGGGCACAAATAAACAATATTCCCTCAAAAAGTCATGTTATTCCCTTATTGTTACATCCCAGGGGTAATTGTCTTAGGCAAAGGGTGAATTACTACCTATCTGGCACCACCACCCCCCCAATGCAAACTTGCATACAGAGAGACATGGTGAAAACAACTTTGATGAGATGAAATATGAGAGAAAATGATATGCTTATCTGGAAATAATGGCAAGTGCCTTTACTGCTTAGCCTGTGATTGTTGCATAAATAGGAGTGGGGTCTTAGGCCTGGGATTAATGAGTGCCCATTTCCCTCAAGAGTCTGAAAGATATTCTCTGTTAGCACAAATAGCATAAACCTAGACGCAAAAAGCATGGGTTCCTTTTTGAGGGTGTTTATTGGATTCCATGTGGGGAGAGATGTGAACATTGTTTCAGTTGGGTTTCTTTTAGGAGTCTTGCGTCTTTTTTTCGGTTTTCTTTTTTGCCCTTGTGTGTGGACTCTTCTTCACCAGTCTCTGACGGTCTAGTGCATGATAATGAGGTACCCTACAAAAGGCGGGAATAAATTTCAAGATGGCGAATGACAACAACGAAGTAAAAGACGAGCTTCCGAGGTGCTCGACGCTGTTCCTTTCAAAAGATGGATCACAAATGCAATTTTATATGATACCTTGTGCAATGAAAACCCGTTTGCGACCACTTATACACGTAAGTTTCTTCGAAGATCTTTTCAAGGAGCTCAACTCATCTGGTTTCAAATTCAAAGTTATAACGCGGTGCGTCAACGCTGGCATAGTTTATTTCTATCAGTTGCATTTGTTGTTGTGTTCATACTCAACTTGTTATTTTGATGAATGATATTCTTTCAGAATGGAGGTGGTCAACTATCTAGTAAAGTGTCAACCGACTCTATCAAGTGAGTACAATTCGTCAAACGAAAATTAGAAATTTTAAGTTATCCAGTTTGCTATGTTTATGCATCCGTGTTATTAAAGGAAAGAAAACAGGATCACAGATGCTATCTAATTGGTTCATTTGTGTTCGACTTATAGGCTTGCTGTTCCTGGGGCTGTCAGTAACTTGTCTGGTTATTTCTCTACTGAGTACATCTTCGACAGCATAAAGCACAACAAACTACAAGATATGACCAATTATCGGTAAGTGCTTCGAGTATTTTTATCCACTTATTTTATTTAAGGCTAACTAGAGGTATTGAAGTTTCTTCTTTTGTGCAAAGAAGAAAATGTGCCCATGGTTGGGTCCTTTTATGGAGTTCTGGGTTTCTGTCATTTACATTTACATCTGTTTATCAACAACCTCAACTGATCCCTTCCTCCAACCTATACCTGTTGCATTACCTACAGATATTAGAGAAATCTTGATACAGGGTTCTTTCAACTCTTAAGCTCCTTCTCATTTCTCCTTACAGTATTGCCCTTAAATCAAATGTAAAGGTTATGAGATTAAGGAAATGATTACCATTTAAGAAGCTCCTGGTTATCAAACAAATTCTCCTTGTCAGTACCATAGGAAATGTAGGGGACAGTGTGGAGAATATGAATACCAATATTAGGGTGTAAAGGGTAATAATGTTAGATGTTATGTCCCTTGGCAAGCCTGGAAATAAGTTTTGTACTGTATTAGTTCTTGTTGGTCTGAGAGAGGGCAACTAGCTAGGCCAAGCTTTTGCCCATAACAATCTGAAATTTACTGTATGTTTTCCTGATGATTAGCTGTTATTTGTTATCTTACTTGGCTTTTTAAGTTCCCAACACATGACAAAAGACAAAAAAGCAAAGCAAAACAAGAAACAGATGGATGAAACATATAGTCGTGTTGATCAAATGTTTTTTCTCTTGATCAAGCATTACATCCCAGATTGAAAGGAAACTTGAGGTTGAAAATTCAGAAGGCAAGGTGAAAGTAAGGTAAGATATGGGCTAATATGTAGACATGTAGCTAGGAAATCCTTAGTAGTTCTGATACTTAGAACTGTTTAAAAACTGCACTATTGTATAATTATATTCATGGTAAAAAAGGGCCATTGGAGCTGTTATAATATTTTTATACTCCTATTGACTTTGAGATAGAAGCAGTGTCACTTCAATGGTAGAATATTTGGACCAAATAAATAATTCATGCTTTAAGAAAAAATTGTTGCATCAACAAAAGATCTATGTTCCTGCAGGAAGCGGAATGGACGAATTGCATATACTCCTGAAGAGGATTTGGCTTTGTTGGACTTCGTGAATGAATATTTTACCTGCTATCCTATTGGAGGGAATGCTCTGTACAAAAAGGCTGAAAAGCAAAAGGTGAGAAAGAAAATCTTAACTTTTTTGTTGTTCTTTGTTGTCTCTCCTCTGGGGAATGGGGTTACTAGTGTAGCAAGATGATGCATAGCTGTAAATACAATTATAATGATTTTGATGTAGATCGTAAAATGAAGAGGTTTGATGTCAGTTGTAATGATTATTGTTGTTATGGTTAATGATCACTCTCACCACTTGAAAGCTGCTAAGCATGACAAATTTTTTTATTAATATGAAATTTCATGTGTAGGTTACAACTCACACATGGCAGTCAATGAGAGACCATTATCTCAAAGTTTTACATCCTAAAACAAAAATTGATAAGCGGTACAGTCAACTGTCCTTGTGGACAAGAGGTGGAAAAAATTCTTCTGGTAAGATAGAATAGTTTTATTGGATTTTCTGATTGCTCTGAAGATGATGGTTCTGTAAAGGACAGTTATGGTTGACAAGAATGTTGTTTCTAAATTAAAATTTGTAGGTTTTAAAGGAAATGAAAACAAGAAACATGACAGACAGAAAAAAACTGAGAAAACAGAGAAAGGTAAGTACATGTAGCTCATGCAAACATTTCAAGTAAAGTGTATGGCAGAGAAGTATTTCATCCAGTCTTCATATTTCAAACCACTGGACATAAGGAAAAGTTTCTCTAGACAATTTGGTGTCAGATATTCAATAAAAAATTGCATTGAAACGCTGAAAAACATTCATTTTTGGGAAGTGGGGAATGACAAGACTTATAATATGATACCAATCTACTTAGCAATGAAAATGCCTCAGAAATCTGATTGGTTTTATATGCTGCTGGTTTTATCTCGTTGTGGTATATTTTCAATTTTCAGGGGATGCAAGGATAACTAGGGCTCAGGCTGCAAGGATGAAAGAAGAAAATGAAAAAGATGAAGGAACAGTAAAGGAAGATAAAGAAAATGAGGAAGGAGATGAAAAGACAGATGGAAATGGGGAAGAGAAAGTTGACACATCACATGAGGATACTGACGAAACAGACAGTGAAGCAAAAAATGCTGTAACTACAGGTAGTCCTTAATGATCTTCTCTTGCTAATAATAATGTTATGTAGAGTGTGTGTATGGCTTGAGGTCTGACTTATTTGAATCAATTGAAAATTTTGAAGCTTTATTGAAAATAAGATAATGACAATAATGTTAGAAATAATTTTGCTTGTATCTTACAGTTAGTACAATTTCTTGCACCTCAACCTTTCATACAACATACTTTGTCACCAAGCCTCATATAGCAAAACTTATTGTTGAAGTGTATTCTTGTAGTTGTCACTGGAAAAATACATTGAGAGGACAAAGTTCATTCTCTTTGTTGGAATAAAATTTTAACATGGGATTTTAAAATGTATTCAGTTTATTTCATGATAAGTTTTGTCCTGTTTTGTTAGAAAACTTTCCAGATGTTGAAAGTACAGCTGAGGTAAGCAGTGCTGGTGAAGATGTGGATTATGATAAACAGTTTGATGACAACCTTCTTCTAATAGCTTACAAAAGCAAGCAAAGACCTTGTGTTAATCATGTTTGGGAATCTTCTGAAGATGAAAATAAAACTGAAGAAAAGGAAGTCTCCTCAAGCCAAGATACTGATTCAAGTGTTGTGACAAGGAGGAGAAAAAAGTTAAGTGGCAAAAAGGACAAAATGAGTGACTTTGATGGAGAAGTTATTTTTAGAAAGAGCCCTTCAGCGAGAAAAGGCCCTTCTGATGATGATGATGAGAAGAGGCCTTTGGCAAAGCGAAGCAAGATGGCAACCGAGTTTCCACCTGATCATGAAAATGGCTCCAGGGGAAAGGAGGCAAAAGAAATGGAAGCACATTTACATTTCTATCAACAGATGAGAAGCAACATTGAGGTTCATAATGTTTGTACTTAGCATGGACAACCTGATGACAACTTGTTTTAAGCTAGTTTATCAAAGCATCCCTGTTAGAAATATCTGTAGCAAAGGTTCAGATCCACTTTGAATTGCTGAAAAAGTAAGGGTGGCTGTGAGCTCACCTGTACACTTGCACTCTGGAACACTTCTTATTTTTATAACTTTAGTAGAAGAATAACCCTTGATCTATTGATTGCAATGTTTAAGTGAAAATTGCATCTTCAAACTAGTTTTTTAGGTTACAGGAACACTAAAATTACTGGTTAAAATGAAACAAAGTGAAATATTGGTATCATTGTTCCATCAAGTAATTGGCATTAAAAGGAACAAAACCATTTTGAGCAACCTTAAATGAAGGCTGTTTTGAACTTGCAGAAAATGCAGTCCAAGAACATGACAGTTCCTCAGATCATCCACACTTTGCTCGTCAGCTCTGGAGATTTTGGCGATGCTGAAAATTATCTTAAGGAGGGTATGTACAGTTCTGAACTTGATACTCTAAAGGGTAGATGTTGCTATCCACTCGATACATAGCTATCCAGTAGAAAGCATTTAGTCAACACTTATCCACTGGATGGCAATTTATGTATTTGTAATGGTTATCCACTCTTTGAATAAGTGGCACCTTGCTAATTTGTGCCTGGCACAATATTACACAGCACTTTTTTAAGGGAGTAATTGTATTTTGTGAATCTTTGTTTCAGAATTTGGTTTGGTTCCACATTTTTGTTTGCTTGCTCTAGTTGTTTCTGTTCTAAATGTATTACTTCCTTCCTTAGGTAAAGAACAATGGACACCCCAAGAGGATAAGATATTGCTGAGTAAAGACAAGACAGGTATTACCAGTCTTGCTAAGAAGAGAGGGTTACAGGCTGTTGTAGACAGGATGAACTTCATGGAGGGCACCAGCTAAAAAGTTTTCTGCGAAAAATCTTTCTTAGTTGCCCTAGAAAAAATACAACAGTCTATATCTGGAAAATGAACAATTATGAAATAAGGTCCCAACATCATGTCGCACTTTTATTGTTAATACTCCTTTTGAAATCCTTACTAGAAATTTACAGTTATTCCTCCTCTATTTTAATGAGAAGTGTATTAAATTTAGGAACTTTGAGTTAACTTTTAGTTAATAAACTATTTTTTCCTAAATACCTTCAGGTAAATACTATATACAACAAAATTACAAAATTATGAAAGTTGTATCAAAAGAGAGAGTCTTAAATTTTCCAAATAAAGAAAACCTATTTACAAGAGTGTTACATCCTGACCAGATACTACCGGCACATATATTTTGTAACTGAATATCTCCAATGTTTCACAACTACTTCTAATAATTAATAAAAACTGTCACTACCTTCAAGATACAGGTATTAAGGTAATTATTGAGAGTCACATTCAGTGAGGTTTCTGTCATAAGTGATTATTGGGTGGAGATAGAGCATACTGTTCTATCGGAAAGGCACCTATGAAATTTGATGTTGACCTAAATTTCCTTTGTGTTAAAATGCCAGCAATGCATTTGAAGATGTACTTGAAGGAGTACTTTGCTGCTCAATGTCAGGCTGATCCAGAATGCCAGGACTGGATGCACAGCGAGGTATACCTTGATTCTCCTGTGTCACATGACCACTCATTCCACTTGGCTTGACCATTTCCTTAAGCAAAGAGAACACCAGGGTTTGAGGCTTTACTGACTGTTTCGCCAGCTTTTCTGTCTCCACTGACTTTCTAAGGAGTACAAGATTATGAAGAGCATCTTCATCTCCTGCCTCTGCTGCCATGCGGTAAAATCGAGCAGCTTCCCTCTTATCAACCACAAAGCCACCAAGGCCATGCTCAAAGAACACTCCTACATTGTACTGGGCTCCAGTATGTCCATGCTCAGCTGCAGACTTGTAAAATATTCCAGCTTTGGACATGTCTCTCTCAACACCAAGACCCCGCTCATAGCATATTCCAAGATTATACTCTGCTGATGAATCATTTTTAGCTGCTGCCATTTTAAGATAAGGAACTGCCTTTTCATAATCACAATGGCCGGAAGATTCATCAGCATAGTACAATCCTAGAAATGACTGTGCCTTGCACAGGCCATGTTCTGCAGCTTCTTTGAGAAGCTCAATTGAGTGTTGAGGATCTTTCAAGAGGCCCCCATCTCCCTGCATGTAAAGAATAGCAAGATTATACATGGCTCCTGCCTGGCCCTGAGCTGCAGCATTTTCATAACACTCTACTGCTTTAGCCAAATCTTTTTCCACTCCTTTGCCATTCTCATAACACAAACCCAGGTTAAATTGTGCCATACGGTGCCCTCGGTCACTGGCTTGCATGAAAAGGAGAAATGCCTTTTGGTGCTGCTTTAGTGATGCAAACTTTATGCCGAGCTTATTTTGGGTGGCTGCTGTGCATTCACTGAAAGAAGCCTGGAATGTAGCAATAGCTTGATCTAGAGGGTCTGATGTCATAGCATTTCCCACATTGTGGACTTGAGAGCTTCCAGCCAAAGGCAACACTCCAAGAGTAGTATGGAATCTGCTCTCTGGCAAAATCTTTGACAACACATGAGAGGGAATTTTTTTGATATTAACATTCCATAGAGACTTTTCATCTGTAAAGAACCTGCGGCAAACTAGAAGGCTGGAAAGGGCAAGCACCCCTGAACACCACTGTCAGAAAAAATTAAGAAAAATTAGTTAATGTGAATTTCAACAAAATTGATGGCCTGTCCTTCAATTTGACACAACAGGGTTTTTCTACTGCTTTATGGTAATCTGCCAACCATTATCAACCCTTTGAACACATTAGGCCTCTTGTGTCCCTGTTACAATTTTATTCACCAGATTTGTTGAGCTCTTTTAGCAATCACAGTTCATTGTGCTTATCAAGAGTAGGCCTATTTTAACCCGTTTGGTCTTTTGAGCAATAAAAGAATTGCTGGGGAGAGGAGAAACAAAAACGATTTGTTTGGAATGCTTTAGGGTTGTAGAAAGTATAGGAAGAACAATACATTGTGCTGATGCAACCACATTTCACGGTCGGTCGAATTCTTCCCGATTGACGCCTGTTCATGCACAAGCAACATGGCTGTATTTGTAACAAATTTATCCACAGTATAAGATCACATTAAAGGTGATAAAGAGTTGATCAAGAGACGGATTTCTATTCTTTGAAAGTTACCTCACTATTAGGCTTAGCGGTTCACATAAAATGAGTAAAGTAAAGAGAGTTTTTCCGCCAAATTTACTTGGCTTAAAAGATATTTTTTTAAGAGACCATATAGACTAGGTAAGGCTACATGTACAAATCGTGAAAATCATAATTAAATTTAGCACTTTCAGTTTCACTTACCGATCCCAATTCCCCATGGAATGCCTTAGAATTTTCATCTTCCTTTCCTCTGGCAAAACAATTCGAGAAACTTAGGGTTCGATTTTTCTGGGCGTTCTGAATGTTGTGCAAAATACATCGCACGAGGTCGAAGCCAGACTTCAAAGTTTCGGTCTCTTGTTCTTCCCATTTTCTGGCCTCTGTTACCAGTAATGCTTTGCCATGATACCTTAAAGACTTTTGAAGTCCTTTATCTTTTTCTTCAGGGTATGAGCTATTCTTATCTTCATTCTTCTCAGCAGCTTGAATCTGCCCAAGACGAAGAGATGAATTGCCGGGACGGCCATTCACTGAAAGAGGAACAATGTGTGAATATGAGCTCGGCGATCGTTTTCTGATGTTTTGGCTTTGAACACTTCAAAATTTCACCAAAGACTACTTTGAGATAGATACTAACCTTTTCTATAGATAAATCTCCACATCCTACACTTGTTGTTTACATCTCATTCAAGGTCGTTTTACATCTTTGTCGCATACCGGGTTGTTCGACACCATGTTTACACACCGCTAAGCCGCAAAGTAAAGCGAAATTTACATAAATTTAAAGATGATGTCATCGCATCGTGATTGGTTAAAAATACCAGATTCGCGTGATCGCACATTGCTGATACGTCACTATAATCTAAAGTCCATTTTACCTCCCAGTGTCTTTCTTCTAGGATCAAGACGAAACAAGAATTAACGAATGAGTTTGGCACCAGTATCAAACCCCCCAACTTTGTCTTACCTATAATTTCCTATGTGATTTCCCACTACAGCATTTGCATTCAATGTCACACTGTTCAATGGAATATCAATAACTAAGGAGGAAAGGAAAAGGAAAGTAAGGGAAAAGGAAGTAAAGATGAGATAGAGAGAAATAGGACAATTGGGATTGGCCAAAAAAAAAAAAAGAAAAGGGAAGATAATGGGGAAAATAAAATTTATGTCAAAAATGAAAAATAAAAAGTTTATTTTCATAGTTTCATTCACTTTCAGTAAGTCTTCATGACTATCTCTCTACAGTGTTTGAACACAACATAAAGTTAGCAAACCAACGTAGTTGACAAGGGAAGCTATGATTTTAATCCCTTGTTTGTTTTGTTGTTTGTTTACTAGATTCTTCTGCAGGCTTCCTTTTCATTGTGAAAAGACAGCATTTTGGCCCTAAGTAAGAAACCAGTAAAGGAGTATGGTTAACAATATCTTTTTAACATTAAGTGACACATTGCTTCCAGTCTTTTTTTGGCATGCAACCGGGTACCCATCTGCATCTATCTCTAATTAATGAGTAAAGGGGATAATTTTTTAGAGAAACTGTGGTGCTGCGTCAGTGGGGAAGTATAACAAGATCATTTGGTTTTATCAACTAAGTTGATAATGTAAATTGACCGCTCAAAAGAGTTTCTATAGTTCATGTTTGTAGTGTTAGCCCTTCATCAGAGCAAAAGACAAAGGGCCAATGCTCGAAACAGTAGCTTAGAACCTGTTTACGGGAGCCAGGTTAAAGAATCAACTCAGTCAATAAAAACACATTATCTCGTTGTGTCTGATTAAGACCTAGTCCTTCATTCATTAAGTCTCTTTTCTTTTCAACTCTCATTGTATGTTTCAATACAGTTAAGTTTTCTCTCAGCTTGGAAACTTTGGACCTCCACCAGAATAGTTTCCTGTTATATTAGCTTTGCTGAAGTCAAATCCAGGATTCTGTTGGAAAATAACAAAACAAGTCATTTTGCCCTCTGTTATTGGGTCCCTCAATCTTAACTTTGATTAAAACTTATTAAGACAGAGGTTACCTCTTTCTGGAATCTTTCTAATGTTAGCTTCTTTTCCATTTCATTGAAAGTCCATGGGTCAGCAGAATATTCACTGACCAACAATGATTTCCAGCCACTAGCTGCATCTCTGCTAGATTTCACCAGAATTATTCTTACAAGTTCATTGTCCTCTAAAAGTAAATCAAAGACAACTGACATTGAAAAAATATAATTTGGTTTCATCAGCTGAGTTGATAATGTGAATTGGCTGATGCAAAGAGATTCTAAAGCTGAAATTTTGAGCATTAGCCCTTCATTATTTTCTCTGAATAGGGCTAACCCTTGAAAATAATAATCTCTATAACTGGATACCCCCCATAATTCATATGACATAAAAAACTCACAGGAATAGGTGGTTGATTCATCTAGTCTTGGGCTTCTTTGCAAGTAGTCCTCTTTAAATTTCTAGTCATGCATTTGACTTCAAGCACAAACACGAAATGTACTAAATTTCAGCGTGGAATTGTTGACTGCATGCAAGTCCTGTTAAGAAAACTAATCGTAAGCAACCACGGCCAGGCCATTTCTGGCGTTCACAGGAAAGTGGCCTGCCCCAAAGGAATGCACCACTGCAACTTGTCCTATTATTTCAGGCTTGTACTTAATTAATGGGACTGAGTTAGCCATTGCCATACCCTACGATACTTATGATATGTCCGCATAAAAGAAACGTTCATCAAGCTTATTTACCTAATGTCCAAGTGCTTTCATCAGCTAAAACTGTTCCATAGAGTTCTCCCTATCATGAAAATTATCACAACCACATTAAAAATCTGACAGCAATGCATGGCTTAAAAGAACACGATACAAACTTGCTTTTCTCTACAAATAAAAAAGTTAAAGTTTCCCCACAAACAACGAAGTCATCACAATCTAGAACTTTGATCTAACAGGCCGATCACCTTGAAAAATTCTTGTCCTTTTAAGCTAAACTTTATGTTTTTTGGACTGATATCACACACGATTTCTCTCCCTCTGGTTCCTTTTGGTACAATGACCTCGATGAAAACTTCATCAATCGTCTGTGCCCAATTCCCCCATGGAGTTTTCGAAGGGACAGTTCCACTCTTCTCGTCAAAGTGGTCCGCCATCTTGTTAACCGATCTTTTGATGTACATTACACGACAAGATCTGCGTGAAAGGGTATTGCCGCTGTTCAGCTTTCAGCTGTTGGCATTTGTAATGCACTTAGGTGCACGTGTTATTCACTCTTCTCTCGGTATATACCAATTTCCGGCCAGTTTTGTGAGAATTGTGACTCGTTGTTACTCCTATTCTGTTGCAGAAATGTCGGTAAGTGATATCCTCGTGTAGGTTCTACGTCGTCTTGCAAAGTGTTCGGGTGATCACCCATTCTTTCCGCCTCAAATAATTTTACTTTCATTATCACTTTTCAAGTGGAACAATATTGTTCACTCTTCTCCCGGTATATACCAATTTCCGGCCAGTTTTGTGACTCGCTGTAACTCCTATTCTGTTGCAGAGTGATTAGGTGATTTCCATGTGTATGTTCTACGTCATCTTGCAAAGTATTCGGGTGATCACTCATTCTTTCCGCCTCAAATAATGTTACTTTCATTGTTACTTTTCCAGTGGAACAATTGCGTGCACACATGATGCAAATATTAAGGTAGCGAGTATCTTACAATGAATACTGTGTTACAGAAGGAAAAGGGATTTGGAGAGCTGGGCTCTTTACATTATGTAGATCTATGCCATGTTATCTTAACAGGGTTTCAAAAATGAACTCTGCACCCTGAAAAGGCTGATGCAATCTTGAGGATACTTTGTGAAAGAAGTTGCAATCAAAATTTATTCTGGCAAAAATTTACTTCATAACGCCCAAAATTATGTTAATGGTGTCAAAACTTTCCTTAAACTAAAAAGGAAGCTACACCAATGTATAGAAGTGATATTGGTCACTTCCGCCTTAGATGATAGAGCATCAGGAAAGTTTGAGAGCACCTACTGACCCCAGAAGCAAATAACAGAGACTAAGTTACCATAAATGGTCTCAAGATTTTCAGATGTGTATTAATCCCCAGTTAAGCCATTTTACCTTATTAGGGCATCAGAATGCACAGAATATGCTATGTGAATAACCTTGCAGATGGCTTATTTATATTTGCTGCTAAAAATGATGTTTATAAACTATACACAATAACTCTCTGCAAGCATTGTATTGTCATGTATTCTTGTAATGGTTATGTGAAACATAGATGAGCCAAATTTTCAAGGAAAACCTTAAGTTCACTTCATTTGTTTTTATGGAAAAAAAAGTGAAAAAATTAAAATAAAATGGATTACAACTTATGCACTATTTAGTTAATTTGAATCATATAATTTTTTACTTGTAGTTTGTGAGTTGAAGGTTTTTGTCATTTAGATTGATAGGAAGAGTACAGCCAAGGTTGATTACCTAAAGGAGATAGAAAAGCAGGTCCAAAAGAGATGGGCTGAGAATAAAACCTTTGAAGTGGACTCTCTTCCTGTAAGAATCATTAACACTATGGGCCTCTGCCACATTCCTCTTATTTTGTGTTTTAATTGTCACTCATATTCAGTTTCAATTAACTTTGATATTTCTCTATCAACAGCCTGGATCACCAGATGCAAAGTAAGTAAATTTTTATTGTTGTTGATAATCCTGGCTTTGATTTCTTATGATATGGATAAACAATTAGCTTTGTCTTTGAACATGTTACAGAATGAATCTAAGTTTATGTCAAGATTGATTTAACGTTGGAGAGGGGGTGCAGAACCAACCTTGCATAAAAATTGTCAATTAATTCACGTATGTGTCAGCCAGTGAAATTGTAGTTTGCAAGACTGACAAAGAGCACAAAGTTTGAATGTAAAGCATGAGTACCTGACAGTTGTTAACACATAGCTGGGCCAGCAAATGGTTTTGATAAAGTTCCATATTATTGATATAGGAAAGAAAAGTTCTTTTGTACATTTCCGTATCCTTATATGAATGGAAGACTTCATCTTGGACACACATTTACCCTTTCAAAGGTATGCTGCATTAAATAATACAAAAGAACATGGAACTGAACATTCTTTTTGAAGTTTCTAAATTATTGATAATCTTTTCGATTGACTAGATTTATGCCAGTTGATAAAATTTTAATTTTATGTTCTGTTTGTTAATTCTATGGCTGCTTTTCTGAAAATTATCCTGGATTCATGGAACAGGCTGAGGTAAAGGACTCTTGAACTGTTTTTTCAGTTATTTTTTTCACTCATAACTTTTTCTCATTATTCAACAGTATTTGCCAACTAACTTTTTCCAAATTTAATTTCAAAATTTTTTTTATGAATGATTATCTATTGATTACTTGTATTTTAAGTTCAGTCTTTATATTATGAACAGTTTGCTATTGGTTACCAACGGCTGAAAGGCAAGAGATGTCTTTTTCCATTTGGACTACACTGTACAGGCATGCCCATCAAGGTAATTTTTAAAAGGTTGTTTCTACGTCTAGGTATTAATTTTTATTTTCTGTAAAGGGTAGACAATCAGGTAAAAGCTCTAAGAATTTAAAATCCTTTGGTGATAGTTATTTTCCAGTCATCTAAGATGACAAGAACAATATGATGCTGTTTTTTCCTTGTTTTACACGATAAAAACATCTTGACTGCCTCAGAAAATTATCCAAGACCGTGAGTTTTTTATCCCACTCTATTTGGGATTCTTCCCCTCTACACAATTTCACAGATATTTCAATATTATCAAGTGATATTTTTGGTATCTTGCATTCAAGGAAAAGTGGCAAATGTTTCACTGAGTCAAGCTCACTTTCTTTTCCTTAGTGCCATCTTGAAGAGACCTGTTATTACCAGAACTGTAGTGATAAGAGTTTTTAGATTGTTGTCATATGTTTGGATGATAAATTGAAATATTGACAGTTAAATTTCTTGTTGTCTCTTTAAAATAAGAATGATTATCCTTTTGTTAGGCCTGTGCAGACAAGCTGAAGCGTGAAATGGCTGATTTTGGATTTCCTCCAAAGTTTCCTGAAAAAGTTGAAAAAGAGGAGTCAAAACAGGTGCAGGAAAGAAGCTGTAGAAAGTCTTTTTATGGTGGCCAGTTTAAATAATCAACAGAATTGATGAAACCAATTGGTAGCCTTGTCCACAGCATGAAGTGTGATGTACAAAGTCCCCTTCATATCAATTTTTTATTAAACCTTTTGATATTTTTTGGGAACATGAGAATGGCTTGTTTTGAGTCAGAAGTCACTTATACCATAAATAATTTATCTTAAGTGAACTTAATGCTTATTTCTGAAAGACTGAAAATGTCAAGTGGAACAAGTTATAGTCTTTGTAATTGTATCCTGGTTTTATCCATTTAGATGAAAAGCAAGGTTGCAGCCAAGACAGGTGGTTTGGAGTATCAGTGGCAAATTATGCAATCACTTGGATTGAGTGATGAAGAAATAAAAAAGTAAGTGCCTTTCTATTAATGATCATACAGTTGACAACCACTGATGAGTGCACCTGTAGTCAAGGTTCCATTTCTTTTATTGTTTTTCTTTTATCCTAACATTTTTTCCCAACAGTAATCTTTGTTCTTGGATTTTTTGGGTAAATTTTGATAAAGTATCAATCTATAATTTCCTACTGCTTAACTGCTACTCACATTATTTGTTGATGTATTAATTCAGGTTTGCTGAAGCTGATTACTGGTTACATTATTTTCCACCTTTGGCAAAATCTGATCTGCAAAATATGGGATTGAAGGTATGGGAAATTATGGTATGCTTTGATTGTTAACTTTTTAAGGCAAGGTGGAAGTGTGGATTCCTATGCCAAATAGATTTCTATGCAAGATGCTCCAGTCTTTACACTGCTCACTGCAGGGTTACTTGTCCTTTTTTACCTGCATAATGTTTACCATTTATTAAGCTCTAAATTTATCATTATTTTGTTTAACTCACCAGGTGGACTGGAGACGGTCATTTATCACCACTCATGTCAATCCATACTACGACTCCTTTGTAAGGTGGCATTTCTGGACCCTTAAAGATGGTGGGAAAGTCAAGTTTGGCAAAAGGTGTACATTGCTTTGTTTCATCTACTGTGAAAGTGATATACTTCACTTTAAGTATGGTAAAGAGTATATGATAGTCATCTGAAGCATTTCTTTAGTTTTACTTTTTGTTCCCGTTTCAAAAATAGCCTCTATTCAAGGCCTTTTTGTTGCTGCCTGCTTATACCACCTCTAAGTTGGCTTAGACCCAGGAGGCTGCAGTCTGGCTTGAAGATGTATTCTCTGCTCTTACCTCTCCCTTAGTCAATAGATGGCTTACAAGTTATCTACAGAAACAACAGTGGGGTGGTCAATTAGATTGTTGCCCATGTTTGTTTGCTTTTGTTTTTTTGTTTTTGATAATGGTAAGGGGGGAGGAGGGCAGACAGGTGTCATCTTGATGCAGTTCCACTGTACACTTTTTATCTTATTCTAAATTCTGTATAATGAGAATTGGCAAACATAGTTTCTTCTTTTCCTATCAGGTACACAATTTTCTCCCCTAAGGATGGCCAGCCCTGCATGGACCATGACCGACAGACAGGAGAGGTTAGTTTAAATCTCAGAATTAAAAAGATTTCTTCTATCTTCTCCATTCTGTTTATTAAATTAATGTTATTGTTTGGTTACTAGGGAGTAGCACCTCAGGAATACACTGGAATCAAAATGAAGATCTGTGAACCATTCAAAGGGAAACTAAGGTATTAATGCAAATGGAAATTGTTAATGGAATTACCCCTGACTACTTCATTTAAGTGGACATACCATATTGATCCATGTATAATACGCACTTTTTTCCTCTAAAAATAACCATAAAAATCGTGGTGTGTATTATACACGGTTTCTATTGTTTTTCAAGCACGTCTTAATTTGCATACATTAAAAACACAACAAAGAAAGTAACAAAAGCCTAGTAGTTTAATTGGTCTTTATTAGCTGGAGTTAAATAATCTACTGATAAAACATTTTCAATTTCAATTCACAAACACAACAAAGAAAGTGACGAAAGCCTTGTGGTAATTGGTCTTTATTAGCTTGAGTTAAATAATCTACCAACGAAACATTTTCAATTTTGGTCCATAAATAAATTTAATAGAGTATTTAAGAAACAGCTAACGAGATAAACATTACAATCGTACCATATTACTGTAATCACAAGTGACAAGAAATTCGAAATGGTAATGAAACTTACCACTGTGAAACGTCAGTTAGGAAGAATTAACGTTTTTTTTGCACCCCAATTTTTTTTGGTCAAAAATTGGGGTGCGTATTATACATGGGCACATATTACACACAAGTAAATATGGTATTTTATCCAGGCATACTTTGATTATACACTACTTTGATATTACAGAACAGCAAAGTTATTTTCTTTTTTTTTCTTTTTTTTTAATTTCATTTTTCTTTTTTTTTAATTTCAATTTTCTTTTTCAAATCTCACAACTCAAGATTTGATAGATGTAGTTGAATATTTCTATATACAGCTTTATGAATCTCTATTTGCCCTTATATGTTCTTCCTTTCCTGACTGGATGATTTTCTTTCCTCTTTGATTCCATGCAGTGCACTGACTGGAAAGAACGTCTTTCTAATGGCTGCTACACTGAGACCAGAAACCATGTATGGACAAACAAACTGTTGGGTTCAACCAGACATCAAGGTGGAACACAACAATTGCTGTCTAAAACTTTGAATCTGCTTTTGAAAACTTCTTTCTAGATACTATTGTTGAGGTTTTTGGAACCCTAAATTGAGCAAGCTATTCTATATTTATCTTTTGATATCCTTGTGCCTTTGCAAATGAATGTTTAAAGGTTTTTTCACTGACTCAGAATACTGTGGCTGTGTCCTTAACAATTTTTACCCCTTAAATGCATGCAAGATGATTGTTGGTGAATTTTTCAACTATTGCTACTGTTTTTTTTCAATCTGTGGAACCATTTTTGAACCTTTTCATAGTACATTGCCTTTGAGACGAACATTGAAAATGAAATCTATATAAGCACCCGACGAGGAGCAAGGAACATGTCTTATCAAGGGTTCACCCCAAAGGAAGGAGTGGTCAATGTTGTGTTAGAGCTGACTGGACAGGTGTGAATACATTTAAATGTTGTCATATTTTGTTTTCTTAAATTGTCAGGGTACTGGTACATTTTAGTAGAAGCTTACATGCATAACAGATACCATTTTCACTGCTTATGGATGTCTTTTTCCGGAATCATCAATTGCATTTCTTTATTTATCACCTTTATTTGAAGGACATCATGGGAATTCCTTTGGATGCACCGCTCACACATCACAAAGTTGTTTACACTCTCCCCATGTTGACCATCAAAGAAGACAAAGGTGAGACTGGTTTTCAGACCCTTCCCAAGGACTGCATACCTCTGAAACACGTGTCCAGTTTCAAGATAGTATCATTGTTCATGCAACTCAGCTTGAAGCATTATTTACACTGGCAAACTACTTGCTGAGGTTTGAGGGGATAATTCTACCTCAGCAAGTTTTCTTGTATTGAGTTGTGGACAAGTTTCTTTACTCTGTGAACTTTTTCTTTCTAGGTACCGGTATTGTGACGTCAGTTCCCTCGGATGCCCCGGATGATTACGCTGCTCTCAGAGATGTCAAAAACAAAGCGGTCAGTAAGCTTCTGATGATTGTATTAGTTTTAATAGGACAACGTTTTGTGGCAGGAACTAAGATTCTACTCTTTTATTAAACCTCAAGGCATTCAGACAGAAATATGGTATTACAGATGAGATGGTTCTACCATATGAACCTATTCCCATCATCCAGGTCCCTGGTTACGGGGACCTCTGTGCGGTAAAGGCCTGTGACGACCTCAAGATAAAGAGCCAGAATGATAAGGACCTGCTGACAGAAGCCAAAGAGCTCACCTACAAGAAAGCCTTTTACGAGGGAACAATCATTGTTGGGGAATATGCTGGTCAAAAAGTTCAAGACGTGAAGAAACTTGTGCAGAAGAAAATGTTAGACAGCGTAAGTTGATTTTAACTCCTGTGTTTAATTTGTTTGGTTTTTTGTCGATCTATAACTCTGATTAGTTTTTGACATATTGCATCAACAATCTTTACTACAGAGATGTTCCTTTTATTGAGTAAAACTCAAAAATGGTTTGTCTTAAAAACGGTGGCCTTTGTGGGCCTGTTGGATGCAAGGCTATGACTTTTTACGGTGAATTTTCGAGTTTTCGAATTGGAAAATCAAGTGAAAGAAAGATTGGATTAACTGATTAATGAACGAAGGAGCGAAACAGAGAGAAACTTCTGTCGTCCAAGACAAATTGTTTTCACATAATTTCTGTTCTTAGCAACAACGCAATCCCAAGGAAACTTTGGTGATAGTAGCTCTGAGTGAATATTTTGATTTTATAAGGGTGAGGCACGGATCTACATGGAGCCAGAGAGGAAGGTCATTTCGCGGTCAGCGGATGAATGCATTGTTGCTCTTTGCGACCAGTGGTAAGAATTGGTCAATATAGCGAAAGTTGTCTAATTGATGTTGCCAAGTTACCTTTTTTCTTTTTTCTGGGTAGGTTCCTGGATTATGGCGATGAATCCTGGAAAAATACTGCGCGGGAATCTCTGGAAACTTTGAACACGTAAGTTCCCGTGTGGTGTTTCCTTTTTGTTTTGCCGTATCCACACTTGTCGAAGCTGTAGTCATGAGATCAAGAACGATGTCGAGATGGTATTTGATTTCTTACTTAGCCAATCACGTGCCTGATCGACACCTCTGACTTGCACGCGAGTACAATGTGTGGTTGATTCGGCTCGATAAAACATACACAGCGATGATGAACACTTAGAGTTTTGCTGAGGACATCGTGGTCTCATGAGAAGTTTAACCAATGGATCCTTCTGAGCTGTGTGATGACGTTTTGCAGTAACTTGGTGGACTCTATTGAGGAAGAAAAGGGCGAGGCTTTGTGTTGTGACTGTTTGGAGGCTTGCGTTGCTAAGTCCCAGGTGATAAGCTTACATTTTGCTAATGTTGTATTTGTTTTTCAGATACGCGGAGGAAACCAGACGCAACTTTGAAGCCACCTTGGACTGGATTCAGGAGCATGCGTGTTCAAGGTCTTATGGTCTCGGTGAGTATTCTAACAGTGTGGTTAGTGGCTATTGTTAACTTTATATAATTAAGGTAATAGGTATCACATCTGAAGTAGTTAAAGTTTTCACTAAAGTTTTTGCAATTTTTTTTTCACACGTGCGCGTTCGAACGAGTTTTTGTTAACTATTATGTGTTTACGTGTATAAATAAATTACTTACTTACTTACTTACTCGACGGAAATTTGTCTTTGTCTTCTGTCATTGTCATTAATTGCAAACAGTACAGTGTAGGTTTAAATGTCTGCAACTGTTGTTAAACAGGACTTTACCTAGGTCAAGTACCGGTCAAATTCTTCAGATATCACTAATCCGATTGTCTACAATTGAACGTGCGTTGTTTCATGCACGGTGTAACTTTAAAAGGAATACTTGGTTTACTCTCGGGAAGTAGTCGGTTGACTATTGATTTGAGGGCCCAGTCACGAAAGTTCCAAATCCGATCATTCCAATTATTGTCTAGAAGGGTCATTAGTTTAACATGCGGAATAAACTGTTCAAAAAGGCTAGGATGCACTAGACGTGTCAGACGCTTCGGGGTTGAACGAAAACCTTCGCGGAATTTTTACCCTCTCCCATGGAAATTGTGCTTTTATTTATAGTTGGTGGAGGAATTTCTCAGCCCACACGCGCGTGAGCCAATAATCATCCCCGTTCGTCTCGCGCGGTAAGCTCGCGCGCGTTGTCGTTGACAACACCAGAAGAGCTTTGTCAGCTCAGATGATTTTATAGATGCAGGAGGTTCTAACTTTTTTATGTTTTTTATTTTATCGTGATAGGCACTCGTTTACCTTGGGACGAACAGTATTTGATTGAGTCGCTGTCTGATTCCACCATTTACAATGCTTACTACACAGTCGCGCATCTGTTGCAAGAGGGCTCCTTTGACGGTTCTGCCGGCGGGCCCCTAGGAATCAGGTACCACTTCAAGTGATAGTTCCCTTGATAAATGGATTCTTTTGACGGCTAGCTCCGCTTTTATGTCGTCTGAATTGCTTGGTTACTAGCGCAGTAATCGAATGTATATATTTAACGTATTTAAGGAGTGACCTTTTTCAAGGTTTTATCTGTTCACTAACCCTCGCCGTTATTGACGATTAAAAGTGAACACTTATTGTTATTTTAATTCGTCCGTCATGTTAGGTTTGTGTAACAAATTGTTTCAAGTGACATCTTAAGAAAGTGTTTAGATGAATTCTCGCCATGGACCTGTGAAAGTATCACTCAATTTAAAAATTAAAAAATTCTAAGAGATTTTTGTTAAAAATATAAAAACAGCGGGAAATGCACTGTGTTGTGTGTTCGTCGCTTCCCAGAACGTACTGAGTCTCGGAGTCACTACGGTATGTTTATCTTTCAAACGATGTTTAATTAAAGGAAAGCAGTTCCCTAAGGTTGCGATTCAAAGTTTAAAAGTACGATGTGCAAAATAAACTTACTGTGATGTTTTCCTATAAAACGGAGAGCCATCAGAAAGCGGAAACAACTCTTTTTAAAATGTAAATCAGCATGATCAACAGTAAACTAGATCATGATGGAATATTTTTTAATGGATTTAGAAAAAGAAAACGGAGTATTTTCTTTCTTGTGGCTCATTGAACGATCTGTTATTGGAAAGTATATTTGATTTGTATTTCTCGTCTGTTGGACACATTTAATTTCTTCTTGCATCTGTTATAGTTAACTTCAAAGCCTTTGTCATTCACACGAAAAGGAAGTTTCGCGAAACATCAGGTTATATTTGATGTTATGACGGTGATAACGCATCAGATCAGATTAATATATCTCCAACATTTATTCCAATCTGTGATCAAATTTGCGTTTCTCCCTTAAAAATTATAGAAATTACGAGCAGGCGCGGTAGGAGAAAAAGGAAAATAGTCAACCTAATGATTAGATTATTTTCTTGTAAAGTCATAGTTTAAGCAGAAAGATGGCAGTTTTCTTATGGAAGATGTATCTTGGAGATTAGAATGATTCAGTTAAGTCGTTATGGCGATACAAAAGGGTTCCCTGTCGATCAGAAAAAATATACAGCCGCTCTGTAAATGGCATTTTCATTAATTTAGATTTTTTTCTAAAATAGAAGTCATGCTGTGTTTCCTTCCGAGCATATTAAGGTTTTGAAACATAGTAATGGAAACGCTTATTCATCTAAACTCGGGTCAGGTGTTCAGCTTGAAAATATTGTGTGCCAATGGTCAGAGACTGTCCATCTGACTTTATTTCAGGCTTTCTTCAACACAACAAACTACTCACTTGTACTCTGCAGCGAAATAAATGAGAGTAATTGATAGTGCTCTGAATATGTACTCTGTGCAGCTCTGCGCTTTTCACTTTTAATTTCTTTTTACGCAGGAACGTACCAAAGGAGCATATTTTGTTTTAGCTTATATCGTGAATTTGTCCTCCCTTCCATTGACAGTCGGAGTTTACCTTCTCTATCGTTCTTTGTTCACTTTTGGTTTACTTGTATTGTTGGTTCGTTCATTTAAGAGAACTGCATTATTTTAAAATTTCTCCAAAGTTAAGGGAATATTCATCCTCTCTTGACGTCGAGATAAAGAAGGCGGCTCATTCTTGTCTCCACGAAAAAAACGCTCCCTGTGCACTGCTTCCTAAAAGTCGCTACAAATCGAAACATGTTATTGCTGCGAGAATCGCACAAATTTCAACCTGTTTTAATTTGTACGATTTGTTGCGGCGGGAAAATGATGTCGTAAGGATAAATATTTGCTCAAAAATTAAATTCCTCATCAAGATGTCACACCAAGGGAATTTTCGCCTCAACTTATCAATTCACCTTCACGCATGCACCTTTTAAAAGATGCTTCGAATTATTACTTTTGTTATCATTAGTATTTCCTTTCCATGTTCTAAGCCGTATTATGCATTTTCAGGGCGGAACAGATGACTAGAGAGGTGTGGGATTATGTGTTTTTTAAAGATGCACCTTTTCCTCAAACAGACATCTCAGAGGATAAATTGAAGTAAGTATAAAAACAGTCTGGTGTAGCTCACTTTGCACTTAATAAGACTTATTTTTCACTTAATACACGCCATATATTGTTTCAGTGACCTATTTACTGAGTGAAAATGATAGTCTGCCTTTAAGGTAAATGAGAGAAATTATTGAAATAGCAGAGAGGGAGAAAACTGCAATGATCGAATTGTTTTTGTCACCTTTCTTTCGTTTTTCGTTTTTGTTCATCTGGAAATATCGCAGAAGACTGAGTTTAAATCTGAGAACCTTTTCATCCAAATTACCAGATTATGCCTTGATTCTTAAGCGAGAGACAAGCGCGAGGTTTTTATTCTTAAGCTAAAACCCAAAGATTAAAATGTCGCGAGATCGTTATCATTTGAGGCAATCATCTAGAGCTTTCAACACACGAAGAGAGCATTTGGCTCATTATTTCGTCCTCGGCGATTGTTATCTTCTTTGTTTTGATGTGAAAGAAATTGCCGCCATACGGAAAACAGATGTAAATATGGAAAGTTACGGCTGTTTTCTTGTCAGCTCTTTTCTCAGCAATTACGCGTATTTAGCTGCGTGCAAGACATGTCTAGAATTTTAATTTGATATAAAATGGCTTTATAAGTGTAATTACACGTGTTATCTGAAGAATGACTCGAGGCTTTTTATTACTGTGTTTTTCAAGGTGACAACTCAATGTTGTAGCTTCATAATAGCATAAATAGCAGTTTTTATCTTGCGCTGCCCACCTAGGTGCACGGAAAGCTGCTTGTTCCTTTGTCTTCCTTCCCTACTAAAATGATTCAGAACTAATTTACATGCAAATTTGTCTTGCTTATTGGCAAAGAGGGAAAAAAGCATGCTTTTCAGACAACCCGGGATTCAGGATATGTCTTATCTTCGTTATCCTGTTCAATAAATTTAAAGAATAAATTATTATGTACATGTTGTTATGTTAACTTCTAATACTCGACCCGCCATGAAAATTTAATCTTTGGAATTCTTGATCATCTTTTTACGGACAAGAAATGCTCGTCTGTACTTTCCAACTAACATTTGCAGGCGATTGACTATTAATTATATTTTTTTTTATAGTAGGCTAAAAGTCTTTGTATTCTATCAAATTTAATTTTCTTTTAAGCGCACCTTTTTCTAAAGTCCCAATTTAAATTTGACTCAATGATGTGCGGTATTTCTCAGGTGTCTTTGTTTATAGTGCGAAAGAGCGTGTGATTTAGATAAAAGAGTTTGCTCCATTTTTACGGAAGTGCAAATCATGCTCAGCTAATTCTAAGTGACTTCTACAGCAAATATTGGATTATCCCCTCCTGAAGTTCTTTTTTCCTTAATAATGGGACTTAATTAAATCTTTTGTGAGTTCACGGTAAATGTCATTTTCAACGAGCGGTAAACTTAATAAATGGTGCTTCTCGTGAAAATTACTCAGATCCATGCTGAAACAGACATACAGAAAAAATAAAATTGGACGCTTGTCAAGCAAAAGCGTCTTATTATCCATGGGTAACCCCATCTTTCATAAAAGTTGAATGAATAAACTTATCTCCTGCATTACAAATACAACCCTTACTTATAAATACAACTAGTCCCTTTCCTCTCGAACTGTTGTGTTACAAGGATCCGGCGTGCTGCGCTGTTTTATCGACAAGTCATCCGTTATGTAAAACCAAACGCCATCGCTTCTGTCGGACTTCAGTTCCCATAATATTCAACAATTAGTGGTACACTGTTCATTGCTATAGATAGTTGTGAGTGTTTTATTCGCTCGGCTTTCGCATCTTGCTTTTCCATCCTTGCAAATCAAACGGGGTAATAGTTCTTTGAAGTCTCTTTTTCTAAAAATGTACATAAGGGGGTTTGAAAACGAAGTAAAAAATCGAGAGTAGTAATAAAACACATACAGCACCCATGCTGGTGGATCAAATGTTTGCTGGGCGTTCAGCTCCTGAAAACTCAAAATAAAATATGGCAGCCAACAGACGGTAAATATGACAAGCATCGCCAGGAAAATGGTGACAGTTTTGCGCTGTCCATAGTTATGCGATTCTTCTTTTCCTTTGGTGGAAAAATGCTGATCAGAAGGGCTGTGAAATCGCCATATCCGTTTCTCGTGGTACCGAACCGTACTGAAAATGCGAATGTATATATAGGCCATCACCAACAGTGGTATCACAAAAAATAGCACAAAAGTAGCGAGGTCATAAGTTTTCTGAAATTTTTCGGCGGTTTCGGCTGCTTCCTCGCTCCGACCTACCTGCCAAGATAGTTGTATCAGAGAAACGAACGCAGCCATAAACCACGCCAAGCTTACGAGCGCGAAGAACGCGCGCTGTGTTACGATGTTATGATAGCGCATGGCGTGCGTTATGGCGATGTAGCTGTCCACAGACACCAGTAGAATATGTACTACGGTAGAGACAGAAATGAATCGCCATGTTAGATTTGAGATAGCACAGGTTGTGAAGCTGTGAGTAGCTGAACAATAAAGTGTAGCAGGAATTCCACACAATCCTGCGAGTAGGTCACTGGCAGCTAGGCTCACAAGAAATGAGTTGGTGACAGACCGGAGTGTGCGATGGCGAATGAATAAAATTATGACAGTTAAGTTGACGGCGATGATAAATATGGCCAGAACGATTGGAAACGTGTCGAATTCCGCATCGAAAGCTCCGATTTCTTCGTCTCCATAATTTTCACCGCTACCTGATTCGGAATCATTGGGGGTGTTATTGTTTGATCTGGGTCCTTCTGTCATCATTTCGTTCGTTATAGTGCCCGTCTTTTTCTCAAATCTAAAACACGGTTGCTTGGCAGTCAGCAGCTAGCAGTAACTTTTGGCGATATCGGCAAGCTAAGTGATAGTTCTGAAATTTCAACCAGTTGTGTATTGTGATATTATTCCAGGTTTCGTTCTCACCTCTTTGCTTCCTTTGTTTGTGTATCATCCGCTTGATGAAAGTCCCGGAAAGATTAAAACATTTTAAGAAATATTAGTGTTATTACCATTTAGATTTTGAGACCCAACAGAGTTTCCCTTCTCTTTTGTTTGATTTCTGTATCGAAAGCGAGCAATGATCCCTGCCTAGACAAGTTTCACTGCTTCATACCGAGTTGCAAGGTTTGAATTGCTACCTGTCGTTGGGTATGTCAAGAGCATGTAACAGATACCTTCCACTCGAGAGTCACTTGGGCTTTTTAACAGATCCCAGCAGCTGAGTTGTGTCTGACAGCACGAGTTATTATAACAAATTGACGACATTCTAAAAAAATCTACGATGTTTTCTCACCTAACGTTTGGTCTAGAAATGGCCATATTTTTCCAATTATGTTTATTTTTAAGTCAGCCACTCAAAGCCGCGAGTAATTAAAACGAGCGAGGTTTTCCTGAGTGGAATTCAACTTCATTAATTCAATCATTTTGATAGTTTTTAGGATGCTGAAGTTTTAGTTTTTTTTCTAGCCTCATAATTGCTACATTACCAATATTCCTATTTTTTCAATTCAGCCATATTTTCAATCTGTTAAAATCCGGGATTCACAGTGATTTTTTTTCCTTTTTGACTTTTGATAACTACTTCTCGTTGTAATCTGGGGTAACATCTGTTTTACGTATTCAGTCGTCCTCTAAACTCGAATCGATCAGTTCTACATTTTCACTTATTTTATTACGTTTGTCAAAATATTCTTTCGTCATCGATAATGCAGTCCAATATCTATTTCCTTCTTGAGTCGATTAAAAGAATTCCTTGATCACGTTTTTAAACTTTGCTATGTTCATAAGGAATATGATCTTCGCTTTGATTATTCTTAATAAAACTGCGTTAGCTTGCTGTGTTTTCCTACCTGTCTTTTTGACCGGTTTTCCCTCAGAAACGCGCGCAGCTGCTATGTCAATATTCTGGGCGAACACAAAACCTCTTCGGTTGTTAAATTTGTATAAGGGTTACCCTGCAAATGGATCAGAGTATGGAAAGTAAATAACAACTTGAATGAAACTGCAGAAAGTCGCTCACGTAATCGTGTCAATCGTTAAGTGTAAATTCAGGAAGATATTATCAAATGAATGCTAACCGCGCAGGATAACCGCTACTAGCAATGATTGAAGTTACTGGCCTTATAATGGTCTGTAAACATATCCTGTAAGGTTTGTCAGCTGAATTATCTGGTTATTGTGGCCTAACAGCAGAGAATATTGAAATGAGCTGTGCATTTGTGAGAAGTTTACGTGGAAGGAGGATGCATTTTAATTTGGCAATGTGAAATGCTCTCTTGAGTAAAGTTCCTATTCAACAAAAGAGTAATTTTTGGAGTCCTCTGTTGAGATCCACGGCTCCCAAGGGCTGAAATTTATCAATATTTCAAAGGGGCTCGGAAATAACCGTGAAATGGAATTGTCATTAACAAAAGAGATAGGATTGTAGAGGTTCAAGGGGAGAAGAGTGTCATTACCTCGGTGTGCATTAGTTTACGAGGGCGAACTAAAACATAATTATCACTCTAAGTAATAAAATGACAAAAGGCATTGAAAATGAAAATATTTTGGAACAAACGAGTCTTTTTCCTATCAATCAAAAGTACTCATTATAAGAAATCTCCTGTCATCGGTGTTAACGTTTTTCAAAATACAAAAGAGAAACCTAAATAATTGAATTGAAGGAAACATTCTAAGCTTTTATTCCTCCATTTGCCTGAAAAAAAAAGGGTGTGGATTGTTTGTGGGCTGATGTCGGCTTTTTTTTCGGGAGGGGGGGAGAGGGGGGGGGGAGAAAGGGAGGGATAGAGGCAAGAAACGAGAAATTGAAGTGAGGAAACTTTTTTGTTACGGAATTAGAGAATATTTTTTTAACCGAACTTTTAATAGTATATCGTTCTGCTTGGCGCTTTTCGGAAATGTCTGATTCAGTAGTTCGATAGGCGTGGTTAAGATAAACAAATATAATCTTTAGCACAGACTAGAAGTGTTAAACCCTCGGCCAGCCTTCTCCCCTCCCCTTTTGTTTAATGTTACTTCCCACTTTCAGAGGCCGAAAAATCGTTTTTTCTTTTATTTGATTAGAGTGAATTCAAACATTTTACCTAACGTCTCCATAAAAAAATTCTTAGATCTTTAAAAGCACCCGAGTTATTTAGAAAAACTTATTTTCAAACAAAAGTTACTATATCAGGAAGGTCTCATAGTCTCGTACAGAGGCGAATTCCTTGGCGGAATTTTCGCGGCAACCGCTCATTTTGGGCCTCGTTTTTCATGTTATTTGCATATTTTGTTTACATCGCGCTCTCGGCAAAATTCACTCGTGGAAGCTCTTTGCTTAGGGAAAAATCTTTGCTCATGGGAGAATCAAAAGCGGAGGAAAGTACTTGTTAAAAAAAAAAAAAACGGAGCTTCATGCTAGCGTCCAGATTTCGAACAAAGGAGTCGCCGTCAAACCAAAAATTGTTATACATAAAGTTAAAAAGGAGGTTTCCTTTCATTTTTACAAGTACCAGCCATGATACAAAATCATCAACAATCGCCTCAAACCGTAATTTGGACTGTCGATTCGTTGTCTTGCTTCTCAGCATATTTTCCGTTTTTTTTCCATTTTGCCGCGGGGTTTTCCTTTGCCTTTAGCAACTTTGCCTATTATTGTGTCGTCCTTCTCAACCCTCCACTGAACGATCGAGATTAAGGGAAAACGTGTCTGCAATGGGCTACATTGACGCCAGGAGGTCCCGTTTTCCCATTGGTTTGCGGTTTCAGGAGGCGTGATAATCTGTTGGCGTGACGCGAGACGAACCTTATGAGTCCTTATGAGCTAAACTCTCGCATTTGACTTTGGACGAATACATTCACTGTGAGCGAATTTAAAGGGTATATAGATGTGACCGATTTTCGTCAAATTTCGCCAAAACATTCCAGGAATAAAGAAAAACGAAATTTGTTTAGGGAAATTTTGATATTTGAAATATTTGTCCGTGGCGTCCATTTACGAAACACGCCTCGCATATTTTTAGCTACTCCAGAATGTTGAAAAGTACTGACACCTTTTTTGTTGATCGATGCCTTGTGAATGAGACTGTGCAGCCATTTTTCTTGTGCTGCGGCATCCGATACCCGATAAATTCAATGGAAGAATCCACGGTCGTTTCACGCCTGACGGGCTCCTGACACTTCCTAAAAACACTCGCTTAAATTATATTTTTATCGTAAACTGCAGTTATTAAGCTTTCTTCTGATATATAGTTTGCTACGATTTAAGTGAAACTAGCGCGCGTACAAATTTTTCCCGAAGGACACCCGCGAAGGTGGTAAGTAACATCAGACGCCTCACGGAAACAGACACCTGCCCATTTTGTCTAGAACGAATGATAATTTGGCTTTGTTACCGGCCCCCATTGACATACTAATGGCGACTTAAATGTTTTTCACTTGTTCGATTGTCTTAAGCTCTTTCAGACTCCCAGAGCTTAGATCAATTTGTCGTATAGCATATCCAGAAATTGTTTATTTTTTTAGCTGCGATGCTTCTATGCGGGAAGGTTTGTTTTGTTAGTTTTCTCTTGTGGTTGTTCCAGACGGTCTCCCAATAATTATAGTATTAGACTTAGGAAGTGATGTGTCCAAAGTTTTGTTATGCTGTCATTTACGATTATTGTACCCTTGAATCAGACACAATCGTAGAAACGCAACTGTTTACTCTTCTCGTCAATATTAAATTCACAAGTTTACGGGAAAGTGATATATACCGACTGAAGTTGCCTCAGGTTTGAATATCCAAGTCTATACAGTTTATTCATGAAGACAATTTTGTCGGCTGTCATTCCTTCAGGTTAACCGTTTTACAGTCGCACATGTGAAACATAAACTTTTTTCAAATGATTTCAGAAAATAGCTTCCAACAGTGATGAGCTTTATTTCACGGATAGGCATCACGTAAGAAAAAATCTCTGATATTTGAAAGGTCGGCAGCTGGAAACGTTCGTGATATCGAGAGAGTCGGAATATCGAAAGTGCTGGTTATTGTTGTCGTTTCAGTATTTTGTTTTATAGTGAGTTTCATGGGTCTCTTTATATGGAAGGTCAATTTTAATGTAATTTTACTCTTACTTTTTTCATGATATCGCGAGTTTATAATCCAACTGCACAAAGTAGAGTACAAATATCCTGTGATATCGTGCGATTATTTGGACAGTTGGTTCTTTTGTGCTATGAAAAAGAACCTCTTTAACCAGGTGTCGCCAGAGGCTCTTTCTATTGTTGTGTTATTGATAAGAAAAGGCGCACGAGAAATATGAAGAGCCTTAGAAGTTGTAGAGAGCCGTACAAAGGATACACCCTTGAAAATCAAGCGGCGGCTTGAAGATGAAAATGTTTTCTTATTCTCTAGACAAGGCTGCAAGTGCAGAAAGAAAGTTTTGGAGTGGTTCTATTGAGTGCAACACAAAATTGTTGCCTAAAACGTGTCTTCCTTTTTTGATGATTGAATTTTCATACAAATTGCAGTATGCAACTTCAGCCCCAAAAGCTTAAAATTCCAAACGTTTTGACAACTGTTACTTATATTGATAGTTCGCTTTTGTTACCCTCAAAGTCGCTAAAAGAGTTCGTCCCTACATCGGAGCCCTCGATGATACTGCAGCTTTTTTGTAGTTTGTAAGGAGAAAACCGTGAAAGGCATCTGGCTTACTTTTCCAGGTATGGTTTAATTACCTACCTCATCAATTCTCAGGTGAAACGCTTTCTTCCATCTCCGGCGAGCGCTTTCTATTTGTATAGAAGGAACTTTTATTATTGTCACGATTTTTTAGGTTTCAGACCTTTGTTTTGAGCTATTTTTAAATCAACAGTTGCTTTAAATATTCCTTTTAATTGCTTTTTTCTCATTCGTAATTGATATAGAAACTGTCTAATGCAGTTTACAAAAGGCTTCTTATTTGTCCATCATACTTTTGTTTGTACGAAAGTCCTTTGTTTCGTTATTGTCGGCATATAAAGACGTCAAATTATCATGAAAGGTTGGACCTTTTAACTGCGTCATACTTACAAAACAGATTGCGATGACACAGAGGCAATACAGCGAACGAAAAAACTGCAATTTTTATTGTCAGGGTAATATGTCATGGAACGAACCTCTTTCATTAAAGAAGCAGAGAAAAATTCACGATGTTGACAGGCAATGAAAAGAAAAATGCAAGCTAATCTGGGGCTAAGAGCTGGAGTAAGCCGGCAACACTAGTCCAAGATTCGTTAAGTTCTGTGTAATTTTTTGTTGGAAATGATATATGCAAATCTTTGAGTTTACCAGGCGAAGAGATTGTTTTGTGTTTGGGTGTCAGTTTCTTCTGAATTTAATGATTTATAGTAATGATAATTATCGCCGGTACTGTTTCGTGCATGGATTTCTCTTCTACATCACAATGCCCAAAGTGATGATAATGTTCATTGCGCTTGAGTCCTAACTATTTCAACATTCTGAAAAGAGTTTATTTACTCTTCGTTAACTAGACGTAAAGCATGTCAGTCTTGTTGGTCGGCCCACTTTTTTCCCATAACATGTAGCATTTTGTAAGATCTTATCATGCTAGACGTTTTAGGTTTGCGACCGTAATTTGTTAGCACATGAACTGCGTGCTATTACGCTTTATTTGTGACGAATAAAAAGTTAACGAAATAGCTCTATTTTTTATTTAATATTGAGTAAGATTTTATTGACAGGAGTCAACTTGTTTCTAAAGGTTTTTGTTCTGCTTTTCTTTTAAAGTTAGCACTGAATCGATCATACTTTTTATTACCGACAGTTGAAGTAACTATATTTTAAACAAAAAGCATTAACTTTATTCTTGGTAGAGGAAAGACATGTTGCATTGATAATCTCGATTGTAACTACCTATTTGATAGTATTATAACTCTTTTTCTTAAAAGGAGGCGAGGTTGTGAGGAATTTGATGATTTTTTTTTTCACGAGAAAAACACAATTTTGCCTTCTTTGTAGTTTTCATAGAATTTCTGCCCGCGAAATGTTAGGTGGTTTGCTTTTCGATTTAATGACAAACCCCCGTCATCTGATCCATTGTTTACGTTTGATGTTTGATATGTCGGTGTCTGCAAACTTGCTTTGCAGCGTTTTTATCTCGACTTATGCACCACTGCCAACTTTCTGTATTCAGCAGAATTTTATCATCGGCGTTTAAAGATTTTCATGTGTCAGAGAAGTCTCTTAATGACTTTTTTTTTTTTTTCATAAAACTGTGATTTGTCCTTTCGCCGAAATGAAATTTGAATCTATAATGTTCTTTGGTAGAAGCATTTCCGGTTCGTTTGACAAGAAGCTCTTAGGCCTTTTTCTCACTCGAATCATCCTGTGATCCACCTCATGAATATCTTCAGTGGTTGGGATTCTCATGCACTTGAAAAAAAAAAAGCTTGGCTTACCATTTGATTTCAAATTGGTAGCACGTCATGGTTACTTCGTTTGGCATGATTTGTTCCATAATTTGTCTGGTTTGAGAACTTTCCGTAGTATTCTTTTGACAAGTTTGCGCAGAAAAGTGTGTTGTGGCGAAATATCATATCACGTCGAAGTCCATTTTTTTCGTTGGCCGTATTAGACAAATACATTGCTGGTGGTAACTGATGAAAGTATGATATGAATCATGGCACCTGTTAGAATAAATCTACTACAATAAAACGAATTTAATGGGACAAGGAAGATCCCAAGTAATCCATGCTGTAGGATACGAACCTCACTGAGCTAGTCCTCACTACGCGCACCAGTGCTCTACCAACTAGCAACTAAGCTGCAGAAAACCCCTTGCGAGTGCAACCGAAGCCAACCTCAAGTTTACTACGTTGAGTGAAGGCGTTAAATCTTGTCATAGAAAGAATAATTTTTACCTGAAATACAACGGCATAACTAAATTCCAATATCTTTTGCACAGTGATGTCAGGAACATGTACAAAAAAGACGCTCTTTCTTAAGGCTGTTGGTAACTTCAACTTTGTTAATTGCAGTCTACGGCCAGCACTGACAGACTTACTGCATAGTCTATGCGAGTGAATTATCAAAATTAAAAGTGTTTATTCTCGTTTATGGCGGCCTGCCAACATTAGAAAACAGACAACAATAGAACCCATCTTGGACAGTTTCTGTCTGTCTGTCTGTCTGTCTGTCTCTCTCTCTCTCTTTCATAGTCCATTTAGCGCGAATGCAGTGCGCTTCAAAAGGAAATGAAATCGAACTATGGAATAATTATGATATCAACTCAAACGAATCTGAACCAGGCTCAAGGAAGTCAACGTGGTTTTATCAATTGAATTGATGATGTAAATTGGCTACCGTAGAGATTTCACAACTAAAGCTGGCGTTTCTAGCGTCAGCCCTTTGTCAGATCGAATTAGACGAATTCACCCTTGTCTTCTGACCCTTACCAACGCAGTACCACAGTTTCTTTGGAAACCTTCCCCCGTTAGGTCTAGTTACAGTTTTATGGTGTTGTCGTTGTCGTTGTCAAGTGAAAAGTGTCAAATAGTTTTCGCTTTTGTAAGCATGTTTGCTCTTGGACACCAATGTCACGAACTTTGTTCAAATTCTATCAAAATTTTGTTCTCGCTTGTCGGTCCTACGTGCCCCTCTGTTTAATATTGGACTGCTTTACCTGTGAATTTTAAGAAAATATTATCTTTACTGCAGTCTTTTAAATCTGCCCTAATGAAAAGACGATCGGATTATCAGGCTTTCAATAATTGATTGTTTTTATTTATATATATATGTGATAATTTGATGTATTTTAGTTTCTTTCGATAAAAAGCTCTGCTTGTAAATCATTTTTTTTCTGTTAGAAGCGTGGGTTAATCCTCAAAAACCTCCAAGTGTTCGAGGTGGCTGATTAAACTTAGCCGCTGATATTAATTATTTGTACCTAATGCAACCGGCATCGTTTCAGTCAGTCTTCTGAACAAAGATTTTACAAGCAGTTGTCTTTATCGACGTTATTCTTCAGGAACCAGCGAGACCTAAATCACTTTAAAATTTTTTTCCCTCAGAAAACTTCGTCAAGAATTCCAGTACTGGTACCCAGTAGACTTACGTGTGTCTGGGAAAGATCTGGTGCCAAATCACTTGACATTCTTCCTGTACAATCACTGCGCTGTGTGGCCAAACGAGAAAGACAAGTGAGCATATTCAGAAAGATGAGATTTTCTGTGTTGTACTGTTTTAGTTGATAAACAATAAGCTCATCTGAAAAAGTTGGTGGAAATTTTCTTCGATGAAACAGAATCGCATTCTTCAATAATAACTGACCAATTATAATTACAGTTTAAGTGCAAATAAGGTCATTGCATAAAAGAAGTCTGAAAAATTCATCAATCAATGAGATCGCGTCTTGGAACTTTTTTTGCTTTTATCTATTACTGATTCCCATCAGGACGACAGTACCAAAGCACAACCTTTAAAATTTTGGCTTTAGTCTGAAGCTTATGATATGGTATGATATGAAAGGAAAATGAGTTAAACAAGGCATCAAACGACGCCAGGTAGGCAGGAATGTTCAAAACTACCCGCTTAGAATTTACTAAATGTTTCTTTTTTTATGTTTAATTTTTCAAAGGTGGCCTCGAAGCGTGAGGGCCAATGGACACTTGTTACTCAACTCTGAGAAGGTATTGTGTAAAGGATTGTTTAATTCTCTCTAAATGTTTGGATTATTTTACAGCATCGTGAATGTGTATCATTCAGCTGTGTAAGTTGTCGTCAATTTTATGTTAAAATAGATGTCGACGGGTGATATCTCATTTGTATGATTTTGATTTCTAGATGTCGAAATCGACTGGAAACTTTCTTACTCTGAAACAAGCTGTTGAAAAGTTTTCCGCTGATGGTTAGTTTCACCCTCCCCTGTCTTCCCTCTTTTTATGTCATTTGTCGTCCAGTCTCTTGCCACCTTCTCTCGTCCATCCTTTAAGCCAACTTCCGTTCCCCCGACATTTTTCCCGTTTTAGGCATGCGCCTGGCCCTGGCTGATGCTGGAGACACAATGGAAGATGCAAACTTTGTAGAGTTGATGGCTGATGCAGGAATCTTACGTCTGTTCACTTTCCTCGAGTGGACAAAGGTCAGGACAAATAATTCCTCATCGTGGATTGAGTTAAAAAATGTATCAGAGTAGATTCTTTACCAGGCTCTAATGCTCTGTTACGTTGTTGTGTGTAAACATTGAGGAAGTTCTGAGTAAGCAGTCAGCCATATTTTACAATAAAGAATCAGATAGCAAATTCCATCCCCTCTAAAGACCTAATCCTTTTAGGACCTTTTAGTGAATTGGCACAACATTGGCTATTTTCAGAAGTAATCTGAAAATAGTCTGAAGTCCAGCACAAGACATCCAGTCGCTTAAATATATCTCCTCGCTATTTCGAGTGTTAAATCCCGACGTACTCTTTAAACACAGGAGATGCTTGCCAGCAAAGATTCTCTGCGCAAGGGGCCTGCAACATGTTACGATGATCGAGTGTTTGAAAGGTAACTTTGGTGATAATTCGTGTAAATATCGTTTTTATTGATCCGGCTTGCGACTTTTGACGTGTTTAGAAGCTCTACTAATGAGAGGCAACTGATAACTTAAATTGTAGCTCCATCAACAAAGCTATAGAAGATTCTGATACAAACTATAAGAACATGATGTACAGAGAGGCACTCAAAACGGGCTTCTATGAACTGCAGGCAGCAAGGGACCGATACCGGGAGGGCTGTATGATGGGCATGCATAAAGACCTTGTGTTTCGGTTCATCGAGGTAATGTGCTGTGCGAAGGTTGTTTTTTAACGTAGTTCCAAGTTGATTGGTGTTGAATGAAACTGTGAGACATAGTTTCTCGTTAGGTGTGTTCTTGTCGTTTTTTTTTATCATTGCCGTTCTCTGAAGATCCCATTGGGGAGATCTGGGTTCCAGTATTTTAAGCCCCAGCAGTTTCTTGAAGATCCTATTTCGGTTATATGCATACTGTATCCGTTTCCCACCAAACATTCAACAAGAAATTTTCAAGGTATATGTGATTTTCCTTTTCCCAGGTAAGTTACTCTGAGTGTAGTGATAACATAAGCAAGGTAACCTCCTGAAAACTGCTTTCAATAGGGACTGCGTCAGAAAAGCTGCACTTTTCTAGGCTTCTCACGGCTGTAACCTGATTTCTTTATCTGTTTGTGTTGTTAGGTTCAAACCCTGTTGCTGTGTCCCATCTGCCCACATCTTGCCGAGCATCTCTGGGAACTCATCGGCAAGGTGCGCTATGGAAAAAAATCGGAGAAAGTACTTCGCTCCATTTATATTTTTGATTCCTATAAAGTCAAGCTATGATTTCTTTTCCGTTTGAGGGCAGAAGCATATAAGATTATATGCTACTGTTGGAAAGCTATAATCCCCTTATAGAGGTTAAAATAGTTAGATCAATTGTTATAGTGCATTTTAGACCTGATTTTTTGTTAAACCAGACGAAAAAGCGATTCAGGGTCCTTGGGTATAGCCTGGCGTGTGGCCTCGTGTGTACCTTCGTGTTTGGCACTCTTACAAAACGACAGACCTATCAGGCTAAAACAACGCACCGATAAACTTGTTTGTTTTCTTACGCGAGGAATTATTTAATAATGTTTGATATATAATATTCGGTGATGATGAACAATTGTGACAAATTTCAAAACTGAGCACGGTTTCTTATTCTTTTATTGACAGACCGGTAGTATTATGGATGCATCATGGCCGGCAGTTGGAAAGGTGGATATGCCGTTGCTGAAGTCAGCGGACTACTTAGCTGATCGCACTCACGAGTTCCGTTTGAGAATTAAAACCATGATGAACCCAAAGGGAAAAAAGGTGCTATCCTTTAATACTTTCTTGTGTATGTGCATGACAAACACCCCTTTCCTTCGCCGCCTCTTTCCCCCCTCCCCCCTCCCCCGAGACAAACTGCCCAGGGCAGTTTTCATTTGAATTTTAGAAGGAATTGGACTTTGCGCTCTCTTATTTGTCTCCAAAATATAAATGGGGAGTAATATTCAAATGACGTGAAATTTTTCTGACAGTCCACCTTTCACGTTTAGGTTAAATTATTGGGCCACTGAAATTTACACGTAGCATATTGTTACAGGCACAGAGTTAGTTCGTTAGTGAAAATAACGGGGTTACGAGAACAATTTTCATCCCATTTTCTTAACAAGGAAAATCTATGCTGAAAACGTGCTCAACATCGACCCAGCGCAAAGCCGGAAAGGAGTGTCATCTATTAGTGCCTGTCAGGAACATGTAACTTCTTATAGAGTGGAACAGTAACTGTCAATCACAATAACTCGATAGACAAACATAGTTTACATCTAAAAACTGCTAGGGCTTAAAAAACTAGTCACCCAGATCGATCTCCTCATATGCACTTTGAATCGCATATTAGACAAAGATTCTGAAAGACGACAACTGAAGCGAAATTGAAATGTACCACCTACAGCTGATGGTGAACTTATTCCCAATTTTCGTAAACAAAACCCTTCTTACAACGTGTAAGCTTTTCCGTCAAAGAAGACTGTAAATAGTAAATCTAAAATGTTGATCAGGTTTTTTAAGAACTCCATGTGAAAAATAATCCAATTTATTTCGTCCAAACTTGTACTCGCGTGGATTAGTGAACATGTATAAAAACCCAAATTTTTTCCATGTTAACTTGTGTTTCTGGTGAAGTATAATCCTAACATAGACTGCACAATGAGAGGTGCAAAGATGTTATGCTCGTTACACGTAGACCATATTAGAACTTCCGCATGGTTTTATTTTTAACAGAAAGATGCAGCTCCACCCAAGAAACCCACTCATGGTATAATCTACGTGGCCAGCTCTTATCCACCTTGGCAGCATGTCACCCTTACCACACTGAAGGAAATGTACGTCAAGCTGGGGGGGAACTTCCCGGATAACAGGGATATTATGACTCGGATGAAAGAACTACCGGAAATCAAGAGCGCCATGAAGAAGCTGATGCCATTTGTACAACATGTCAAGGTACTTGAAGTAAATCTTGACTTCTGCATTCTACATAGTTCATTACTAACCTCGTCTGCTATCTGAAGCAGTTCAGGAAAAAATAAAATAAAAATAAAAATAAACAATTGTTAACTGTTTCATTATATTAAAAAGAACTCGAATCTTACACTGCACATTCTCCTTTTTTTTAATTTGGCACCTCTCTTTTCTATTAACACCTATACTTACTCGCAGCTACTCAGAACGATCTCTTAACTTCGTTACTATTTCCATGTCGTTTATCTTCCTTTGACTTTTCATTACAAGATTAATCACGTGACATTATTGTGTGACAGGAATGTGTAGAACGTGACGGTCCGTCGGCCTTGGAGACAACTCTACCGTTTGATGAAAGACAAGTTCTTGAGGAGAACAACGCATTTCTTTCAAAAGCTCTCGAAGTAAGATTTAATTTGATGTGTAAAATATCGTTGCAAAACTTTCCTTGTAGTTAAGTTACATTTTTCTTTTTTTTTGTGCTAAATTCAGTCGAATCATGATCATCAACAGTTTTCCCATGGGTACAGGAGGGGAGGGGGTGTGTCCTTAACTTTATATTGGAATTTCAAGGCAATCCATGATATTTTATGATAAATCATCAACTTTCTCAGCGATTCCCCCCTCTCCAGCCACGCTCTTGATTACCCTTATTTAGTTGAAAGCTTGTAATTAATATGTGGTGAAGCTTTGGAGCTAAGTCTTGAGTTTGATTTTAGCTGGTTAGTGTGGAAATCAAGCCATCAAGTGAAGCTGACAAAAGAGTTCAGGAGGACTGTGCACCAGGAAAACCATTCTCGGTCTTCACAGCACAGGAGAGTCAGGTTTGTTTTTTGTGATTTCATGTGACATGCAATTTGGGTGACAAAGAAACAGACTTAGTCCGGACTACGGTAACGTCGTGGTGTTAGTGAAAGATAGGAATAACCTCAAGTCACAAGGTCACTTTTAAAACCTCAACTGAATGAGCTATCAATGTAAAAAATGTGTGACGGCGCTGTCTCATTGGAGAGAATCTTTCATTAGATACAGCAATTGCCCAAAATGTTACGAGCGGAGTATTTTTTTTTAATTTGGATGATTTCGAAATTTTAAGTTTTTGGCTAATTTTATTTCTTATTTTTGTGATGAAGGAAAATGAAAGTTTAGACTAAGTCAGTGTTCAGCTCCAGTTGATATAGGGAATGTCCGTTACTTCCTTTATCACTGTGAAAGTAGCAGAACTAAAACCGTTTTACAGATTGTTTCACACAGTTGTCGCTTGATGCAAGAAGAGGTTGGTCTGGCAAGGGTGAAATGAGCTCCAATGCATTGATAGAGGTTTTTGGTCAGATCGTATATCGCCTCACGCGCAACGTAACAGAACACTACAACCCAGAAGAGCCTGAATTCACGACAGAGTCTTTTGGCTACGACCCACTGCTAAGCACAGGTAGAGAATGGAATTATGAACCTGTTGATGAACTGATATACCAAGAGTACAGCGACAGAGAAGCCACAAACTCGAACTTTTTCGCATATAACAACATTAATGTCCAGGTTAGAAACGCTTTCTTACCAGAAGACAGTGAGGAGACAAGGGAACAGAACGGTAAAGATGAAGAAATGGCTCGGAAACGTCTTCGACCATCCTTTGTACAGACAGTTTGTAAATCGATGTATATTGGAGCTTTGATTTCTTTTCTTTCGGCTGTTTTCATCGCCTTATTTTACCTGTTGATCTCTTTTGTATGTTACAAAACTATTCTCCACTGTCAAAACTACCCAAAAGAATTGATTCCGATCCGTGTACAATGGATGAAAACTATTTCTGATGCGATTTCGTCTTTTTTCTATTACTTCTGGTTCTTTGGTATCGCGTTATTCCTTTTCCGTCCATTTCAGTTGAAAGGAGTGAGGAAAACATTGTTCTTGATTTTGTTTGTCTCGTACTGTTTGGACGCGAGTTATCGCCTTGTATTGGTTAAGGTGGGAGTGTGGTATTATTTGGCACCAAAAGTCTACCAAACTCCACTTTATTCGTTTTTCTTTCTAAGCGTTTGCTTACAGCTTTATGTTTTGGGAAAACAATTTCGTGCACGACCTATAAAAATGCTTCTTGTTCTGATGTGTAAAATGTTATTGCCATTTTGTTTACCTGTTGTTTTCGGTATTTTCCTTTCTGATGTTATTTATGGAATATACATAACAAAACCCATCGAAGGAAAGCTTCTAATTGCTCTCTTTGCCCCTGTTGTTACGGTGGTTTTGAAAATTGTGTCACGACTTTGTGTTCAGCGATTAAGGAACATCACTCATCCGGGATACTCTTATGTGTTATTGGTGCCTCTGTATTACGGCACAGCGGTTGTCTTGAGAGCTTTGCAAGCAGATCTGGACGATCTTCCATACATCGCCTTACTTGGAGTCATTCACGGTGTTGCTGAGGTTGTGGAACGTAGTGTTATGGTTGTTGTTGATCACACTTGTACCGTGCTTTGGAAAAGAAAATTGGCCCCCTGGGGAAGTTTCCGTACTCCTCGCCGCGAAAGACTTATGGCTGATATCGCCATTATAAGCATGTTGTATGAATCTACTGCTGTAATATCTGTCAACGGATTGTTTTACTTGTATCAATACGTCTACACAGAAAATGACTCTATCATAAACTTGCTCAAGACATTCGCAGTTCACACTTCAGTTCAACTGGTAATTGAGTGGTTTTTTACCAGTGTGTCTCTGGCGATCGAGACTCGTTATCAGAATATGGCTGTCATGGCTGTTTGGCGAAGGAGATGGAAAAGACACATTTTGGCAGCGCTTGTAAATACAGTACCACTTGCTGTATGGAATAGTGTCTGTATGTTAATTATTTTGCGCGCGTCTTACTCAAACATAGGGTTTAAACAGCCTTGTAAAATGCCATTTTCTTAAGTGCCGACTAGAAAAAATTTACAGAAATTGTTAATGATCGCCTTGTTACACATTTCTTTAGTGGGACCAAAAAGGACTGTCGCTAATTCTTCTCATATAACAAGAGCAACATTGAAGAGAAGGAAGATATTACACTCTCACGAACGAAACTGAAATGAATCAGTAAAGTGAACTTTACTAATTAAGTTTTTTAGTCGCTCAGTCGATAGCTCATTAGGATTAAATGATCAAAATGCATGTGTGAGTGTGTAAAGTAGTAGGACCAATAAAGGGAATTCTCTCATGATTAAAATTCTGGTGGCCATTAACATCGAAAAGATTTTTTATGTTATTAGTTAGTGTATTTTCAAAACCAATAAATCAGTAAATCGTCGATTTTTTAAATCGTTTTTAAAACAAAACATAATATACTTCTGAATAACAGGGTGACTTTCTATAGAAACTGGTGCTGCGTCGGTGGGAGAGTATATCAGGGTAATTTAGTATTACCAACTGAGTTGACAGCGCAAATTGGTCACAGTAAAGCTGACGTTTCGAGCGTTAGCCCTTCGTGAGAGTTAATTACGTTATCAATTCAGATGATAATTCTAATTTATCCTATAATATACTTCTGATGGATACAGAGATTCACAAAGACGATGGGCTTATCGAGGCGGTTGAGTGCTGAGCGCGCTGTACAGATGCTAATGTGCTGCTAAGAAGCACTCCAGGAAACGCAACCTTTTCTTTACTTAGAAGTATCGAAATGACAACAGCTGAATCTTGGGAGCTTCAATTGAAAGGCAAATTCACGCAAGGGAATTTTCAAACTAATGAAACGGAACTAAACTCTGGACTGTGTGATGTAAAATTATACTTTCTTTTTTTTCTCCACTACACAACCTGTTATTTGAACTTCAAGTTCCTTTGATAGGATGAAAGAATCTTGGAGAAACCAAACCAAGGATAATTAAAAACGAATCAGCATATTCCTTTTCTGATACATAAATACCGAGGAATCCTTCTCTTTATCATTTTCTTCAGGTTTTTAATGTTTTTTCTTTGATGAACTTCTGATTTGAGCTAATGAGATGTTAACGTTAGTCAAGGAAGTGTCTGAAGTATGAAATTTCTTATCCGCCATAAAATTTCTTATCCGCCATAAAATTTCTTATCCGCCATGAAATTTCTTATCCGCCAAGAAATTGACGATACGAAAACAAATTAAGAACGAAAGTTATTTGATGTGCCTTTAATGGAAACGAAATGGTTTTGATGTTAGTAAGATAGAAATCCTTACTTTCCCATGGTACAATGGTTGTTTGTATGCATTGGGTGCAGTTTCAAGATCTCGCTTGCAATGGGCTAGAGCATACAAGAAAGGTCTTTAAGTGTCTTTGAAGTACACTATCTGTCTCTCTCTGTCTGCCTGCCCAACCGTCTCCATTTCCCTGTTTGTCTCTTTATCTGTTTTTTCTGTATTGCTGTCTTTGTCTGTATATCTGTTTGTCACTTATGTTGGTTATTCTTCCTCGCAGACAAATGGTGTATGTGGTTCTAGTGGCGCCGTAGAGTTAACAGATAAATCTCCCATCCCATCTGAGAAACAACCGTCCCCAGTTTGCCGATTTGTTAATGTCAAACTATGTGGAGTTGAACCGGCCCAAGGTGCCAAGGGAAATCAAGCCACAGTGCTGCTAGAGAACCCACAAGGACAGTACCTGTTAAACTTGGACCAACTCACACGCGAGGTTACTAAAAATTTAATACTCGTAAAGCGCCGGTGTTGTTACTTGAGTAGATACCAGTTTGCTTTCGTTGTGTATTTCGCTTTATTCGAGAAGAATAAGCGTGCATATGGTGCTGAGGCTTTGGATTTACGTTTCAGCTCTCTTTTAAGTTTCATGAACGTTGCTCAGTTTTCTTTGTGTAAGCAAATTAGCGGTTCGTTGGAGCAACTGTTGATAATATGTTACTGTTGATTTTCTCTTTTTTAGAAACAAGTTTGTCATCGCAGTTATGCATATAAAGCATTTCAGCAGCAAGGTTCGTCTGAACGTGAGATGATTGTGTTATTTGATGTTTTTGATTCTTGCGGTTTTAGGTTGCGGCGGTTTTCGGTCTTAGAGGAAGAAAACTTACACTGTCGGCATCGGCCAGCTGTGATTCACGTGAGTAACTCAAGTTTTAAACTGAAACGTAAAAGTTTTATCGTAGAGAAGAATGAAAACTTTTAGAGAATTTGTTCTTATCCCTCGACAATAGATGAAGTGTGTAGCGCGGTGAAAAAAAATGAAATTTAACAACTCGAAACTCTTCTTACTATTATTTACAGTATTGAGGGTTTCAGAGAAGAATTCGAATTGGGAAAGTCGCATGAAGCAGTGAAAATATTAAGTGTTAACTCATAGTGGTACTTGGGTGAAAAAGGTTTTCAGTAAATTGCGGGTTTCGTCTGATCTTGTCTTACTGGCGATCTGCCATCTTGACCTTACAGGTTCACACTGACACGATATGTCGAAAGTGGTTCATTCAGAGCTCTAATTTTCTCGTATTTTTCAATGATTTTTGTTGACAGCCCTGACCAGTCAAGACGTCATGAAATACAGTGGACAGTGCCTTTACGCTTTTATTGCGAAGAATTAACACGATGAAAATGCGGCGGCGCATTATGGTGCCAAAATCAAGGTGCTTCTCAGCGAAGTAAAACGAATTTAAAATTCCATAGGAATGAACTTTTAATTTTAGATCACTTTGAGTATTACGGCCTAACTCCCTGTAAGTAGTTTCTATGGAGAATATAGGAAAGGAGCTTTCTCTCTCTTACACTTTTTCTGTCGATGTCTTCACACTTCCCCTCCCCGCTTCAGACAAATTACAATTGAAGTGGGATGGGAGGGGATCTTGGTGAAATTTTGCTGTTTAAATTGGCCTTAATATATTGAAATTCAAACTGATTCGAACTCTCTTTAACAATAATTACAAAATGGTTAACGGGGAAATTAATTTACATTTCTAGCACTAGCCCTTTGAGAGGTTTGGGTTGTGCGTGTGGAGAAATACTTCTGTTGTAATGAATTGTGTGTTGTCGAAAAATACTCCTGTTGTGATGAGTTACGGAACGTCACGTGAGGTAGATATTCAGCTTGCATTTTAAGTGTAATTAAAAGAAAAGACGAAAATATGGTTGCAGTGCTTGATCTTGTTTTCCCTTCAACCTGTGTTAGGCATTCGGTCAGTGGAGACGAACGAATAGCTGAGCGAGTGGAGTCGGCCGTCCGTCCCTCTTAGTTTCTCCCGGTTTTTTCAGTTTTTCTTCCGCTCGCCCGCTCTCCAACCCCCCCCCCCCCCTTTTTCATCATTCCCCAACACTGACTGTCTGGAACAGGCTTTGTTTGTCGTGGGCTCCCCCCTGTGCAGGAAATGAATACAATTCGACAGCTTCTGTTTTCGGGTAATAATCTACTTCACTGCGCAGGGGAAATCCCGTACAGTTTTGGTAAGACCATTATCTCTTGGTAATCTGTTCGAATTGTGATTACAACACCGTATCGCTTTGGAAGATGTTCATACGAAGATGAAATAGTAAACAGTACACTTATAGAGGTGTTTGGTCAAGTCTGTTTTATTACGCGTGCAGTGGATCAGGTTCCTATAACCTTGAAGAACTTCCTCCGATCCGAGTTTGGATGTAGCACCGCCGATATTGCTGTGGAAGATATTGTTCATACAAAGGTAGGATGGCAACCAGTACCCTGATAGAGGTTTTTGGTCAGATCGTATATCGCCTCACACGCAGCGTAACAGAACACTACAACCCAGAAGAACCTGAATTCACGACAGAGTCTTTTGGCTACGATCCACTGCTAAGCACAGGTAGAGAATGGTATAAAGAGCCTGTTGATGAACTGATATACCAAGAGTACAGCGACAGAGAGGCCACAAACTCGAACTTTTTCGCACATAACATTAATGTCCAGGTTATAAACGCGTTCTTACCAGAAGACAGTGGGGAGACAAGGGTAGATCAGAACGTTAAGGAGGAAGAAATGGCTTGGAAACGTCTTCGTCCATCCTTTTCACAGACAGTTTGTAAATCGATGTGCTGTGGAGCGTTAATTTCGTTTCTTGCAGCTATGTTAATTGCCATGGTTTACCTGCAGATCTCCTATGTCAGTTATAAAACAATTCTTCAATGTCAGGATTACAACATCTCGTCAATTCCAATTCGTGTGCAGTGGATCAAAACGATTTCTGATGCGATATCCGTTAGTTTCTATTACTTCTGGATCTTTGTTACACTCCTGTTTCTTTTTCGTCCGTATCAGCTCAAAGGAATAAAGAAAAAGCTGATTCTGGTAAGCTTTGCAGCGTATTGTTTGGACATAAGTTATCGCTTTTCTCTTCAAGTTATTGGAAAGCCTTATTATGCGTCAGCCACTGAATTGCAGATTCCAATATATACTTTTCTCATCACCAGTATATGTTTGCAATTATATATTGTCGGGAGACAGTTTTGCCGGCGTCCAAGGCTTACAGGTTTATTGTGTAAAATGATAGTGCCATTTTGCTTGCCCCTTATTTCTGGAATGTTTATTTCGGATATTCTTTATGGAGCGTATCTCAAACAAGAAAACACAGGCAGGCTGATAATTGCATTATTTTCACCTCTCTTGGGGGTCGCCATAAAGGTAATATCAAGAATCTGTGTTCAACGATTATGGAACATTACTCATCCAGGATACTCTTATGTGTTGTTGGCGCCTCTCTACTTCGGCACAGCGATTGTCTTTCGAGCTTTACAAGCAGATCTTGACCATCTCCAGACTATCGCCATTCTTGGAGTTATTCACGGAGCTGCAGAAGTCATTGAACGAAGCATCATGGCGTTGGTTGATCATGTTCTCCATGTGTTGTGGAAAAGGAAATTGGCCCCTTGGGGGAGTTTCCGCACACCTCGTCGCGAACGACTCATGGCTGATATCATCATCTTGAGTATGTTGTCTGAATCTGTTGCTGTGGTGTATGTAAACGGACTAAGATACTTGCATGATTTTGTATTCGTGGAAAACAACTCTATCATTTGGTTGCTCAAGACCTTTGCAGGTCACACGTCAGTTCAGTTAGCAATCGAGTGGTTTTTCACCAGTGTGTCTCTTGCGATTGAGACTCGTTATCAGAATGTGGCTGTGATAGCTGTTTGGCGACGAAGATGGAAAAGACACATGTTATTAGCGCTTGTAAATACATTTCCAATCGCTGTATGGAATAGTTTTTGTCTTTTAAAGTTATTTCGCGCTCGTTATGAGGTAGTCCTTAACCAGCCCTGCAAGATGCCGTTTACTTGAAAACTATCTCGTACAAATCTTGCTACGAAATCTTGTTACGAAATGCTAATGTCAAGTTTTTCTGACAATCTGGTCATTCTTAAATATCTTAGCGTAATTGAAATGTTAAATTGTGTCACTGAATTTTCGGTCTGCGCAGAATTTTTATAAACCTTAGATTTTTAGGGTTTAAAATTACTTTATGTGCATGCTTACACCGAATCTTCGGTTTATTATAAAGGTCAGTCCTGGGATTTTTACCAGACACATGCTAACTTTAGAAGTTTTCAAACTTTTTTTGCAATTTCTTAGAGTTGTTGTTTTTAGGTTTTAACTGCACAGAACTATGAAATGAGCAATATTTTAGAAAGTAGGTTATATACTTTTCTTAGCCATATTGAAAAGCGCTTAGTAGCCTGCAATGAGTGTTATATAAATTGTATATATTAGTATGTTTTAGTTTACATTTTTTTTGAGTGATTGGTTTAGCATGAAAAGAAAGAACATAATTAAAAAGATTCGCTAGAAGGAATTAGTTAAGTAAATCACTTGTTACGTTAATGTACTTAACGTGCCCAGAGAGGAGTTAAGTCGCTTCCTTCGTGTTCATCAATTTAAGATATTTGCGTCTTTTTTTTTTGTTTTATCAAATGTGTAATTTGTATCCTTTGTTTTTGCAATCTTGCCGTTGACACTTAATAATGAAACTCTACTCGGTTCTGCGGAAAGGAGAGACAGCTAGGTCCAAGTAAGATTTTGTTTCTATCAAAGTATATCTTTTTCACCCAACTATTGTGACAATAACTATCTTCAACAGCGTTGACATTCTGGTAAACTTCGTTTCGAAATTGATGTGAAAATCGTTTAAAGCTATGCACTGCGTTGAGGAGCTTTGGTGCCGAACCAAACACGAGGCTGTCCTTTTTTCAAAGACTTTTGAATATTTTATTATTCTTTAAGAGGGTTTCTTAAAGGTTGCTAAATATTTCTGTATAACAAAGTTTTGATTTTTCAATGAGAATAAATTTATATGTCTGTGAGTTAGAGGTGTCAGAAAGTTTCAGACTTGGCAATCCAGACCTACACAATAAGTGGCCACCCATCATTTGTAATCTTGAAGAAAGATAATTCTTCCGGCTAAAGAGGGAGACCTCTGCAAGCAAGCTTGTCATCAAATCCAGCGACTGAACAGCGAAACCAATTAATATCAAATATCATAGAAATTCATACCGACACATAAACCTCTAATTTGCAATCCCATAAATTAAATTGTAATTCTCGATTGTTAAAAAAGGGTACAGCCGCCAGAATGGTTGGGATTCAAGTTGTACTTTTACCGCAGCAAAATTTGAACAGTGTCATCTATTGCACCGTGTGATACAAGGTCAAATCTTCGATGACACCGAAGAATCGATGCTTTCAGCGGTAACTGAATTATTTCTGGATAAAATTTTCAAATTCGGTCAAAAAAGGTGAAAGTATGCTGTTTAATCAAGGAAAATTAGAAAATGTGCCAATTCGGTTTGAGGTTAAAAATTTAATTAAGGAGAAAAGTAATCCCGTTGCATTTGGGAGAATTAAACATGACTTCAACCAAGCAACGTGAATGGAATGCAACTACTACCGTTATGACGTCATAAAATGTGTGGTAGACCTCAATAAACAACCTAATTTCTACATGAATGCGGGACTCTTCAGAGTTCTCAGCTTATAATTCAAACTATTGTTACACGCTGTTTTTGATATTATTTCGAGATTGTTATCAATTTTTCTTTAAGTCCACCTTTCACGTTTAGGTTAAATATTGGGCCACTGAAATTTACACGTAGCATATTGTTACAGGCACAGAGTTAGTTCGTTAGTGAAAATAACGGGGTTACGAGAACAATTTTCATCCCATTTTCTTAACAAGGAAAATTAATGCTTAAAACGTGCTCAACATCGACCCAGCGCAAAGCCGGAAAGGAGTGTCATCTATCAGTGCCTGTCAGGAACATGTACCTTCTTATAGAGTGGAACGGTAACTTTCAATCCCAATAACTCGATAGACCAACATAGTTTACATCTAAAAACTGCTAGGGCTTAAAAAACTAGTCACTCAGATCGATCTCCTCATATACTCTTTGAATCGCATATTAGACAAAGATTTTGAAACAAAAAAGCTGAAGCAAAACTGAAATGAACCACCTACAGCTGATGGTGAACTTATTCCCAATTTTCGTAAACAAAACCCTTCTTACAACGTTCAAGCTTTTCCGTCAGAGAAGACTGTAAATAATAAATCTAAAATGTTGATCAGGTATTTTTAGAGCTCCGTGTGAAAAATAATCTTATTTATTTCGTCCAAACTTGTACTCGCGTGGATCAGTGAACATTTATGAAAACCCCCATTTTTTCCACATTAACTTGTGTTTTTGATGAAGTATAATCCTAACATAGACTGCACAATGAGAGGTGCGAAGATGTTATGCTCGTTACACGTAGACCATATTAGAACTTGCGCATGGTCTTATTTTTAACAGAAAGATACAGCTCACCCCAAGAAACCCACTCATGGTATAATCTTCGCGGCCAGCTCTTATCCACCTTAGCCACATGATATCCTTACCACACTGAAGAAAATGTACGTTAAGCTTGGGGAGGAACTTCCTGGATAACAGGGATATTATGACTCGGATGAAAGAACAACCGGAAGTCAAGAGCGCCATGAAGAAGCTGATGCCATTTGTACAACTCGTCTGCTTTATTAGTAGCCTTGTCTGCTATCTGCAGCATTTAAATTTCGCATTTCATTCAGAAAAACAGACAATTGTTATAACTGTTTCATTATATTGAAGGTAAAAAGTAATCGAATC